GACCTATCTTGAAAACACCCACCACAAAAAAGGGCTGGCAGAGTGGCTCAAGTGGTAGAGTGTCTTATCTAGCAAGTGTGAGGCCCTGAGCTCAAACCCCAGTTATGCAAAAAAAAGAATCTAGAATTATGTCAATAGCCAAATAGTTTACCTTTTGGTAAAATATTAACTTTATTATTTTTTAAGCCAGTCACATAATCGTTCATTATCAAGTATTGTGTACATTATGTGTGCTGCAGTCTTTTTTTTTTTCATTTTTGTTAGCATATATTCATTGTATAAGGGGATTCATGATGCCCATTCCCAGTAACCTTACATTGTATATTGGTTAGATTGCCCTCACCATCTCCTCCCTGCCCCCCTCCCCCGCCCTGCTCCACTTAAAGCAGTTGCAAGATATTTCATCTTTCTATTTCATGTATGTATATGAAGCCCATCAGCCATATTCCATCACCTTCATCTCCTTCATTCACCTTCCCCTTTCATGAGTACCCCACTACACATTGTACCTGTTTTACAGTCCTGTCTTTCATTTTTAATTCCAAAGTCAGTGTTCAAAGGGATTCCTAAAGTACCTTTAAAAGTTCATAGTTTTTATATCAGTTTGTGAGAGCTTTTGTTTTTGTTTATTGTCATTGAGTAAATGTACGGGGGAAGCTAAGTTTTCTTTAATGGATTTAAATGAGTAATTTTCTTTAAAAGACAGCTTACATCTATTGAATTAAAGAATTAAAAAGATTCATGCTTGTTTTTGTACAACAAATGTTAATAGCAATTAACTTTTAGGAGTGAGATTGGGAGATGGAGACATGCTTTTATAATGAAATTTTATGCAGTAAATTGAGAAGTAAGAGGGAAAACAATAACAAGAAAATGAATATAGAAACGAATGAATATGTACGGCACTCACAGGAGTGCTTTCTTTGAGGGGGCGGATTACTGGGATTTTAAATCAGGGCTTTACACTTGCTAGGCAGGCACTCTACCGTTTGAGCCACATCCCCAACTCTCTCGTGCCTTACTTATTTTTCAGATAGGCTGTTGTGTGTTTTGCCTGCTGCTGGCCTCAACCTCAGTCCTCCTACCTATCCTTCCCCAGTAGCTGGGTTTCCACGTGCATACCAATATACCCAGCTTATTTGTTGAGGTGGGGCCCTGCTAATTTCTTGCCCAGGCTGGCCTTGAATGACAGTCCTCCCAATCTCTGTCTCTTGAGTAGTTGGGATTACAGGTGTTCCCCACCATGCCTGGCTTAGTACTTGAATGGGTTATCATGATCTACCGTGGTCCATGGAAATTATACTTACAGGACTTGAGATGAATTTTGATTGTGTCCTTGTTCCATTATTAATGTTTGTTTACCTGCTTTATTTTTACAGGGATGTGCATGCAGTCTGTCTCTGGGATGATAAAGGCCCGGGAAAAATTCATCAGGCTTTAAAAGAAGATATCCTTGAGTTTATTAAGCAAGCACAGGCAGTAAGTTCTACATCTTTAATTTTGTTTTTTGGGTTTTTTTTTTCTTTTTCTTTTTTTGGAGCTAGGAATTGAACCCAGGGCCTCCCATGCATGCTAATAAGGAGCTTCACCCCTAGCCTCAGATTTGTTTTAAAACAGCTCAGACAATATCATATTTTATGACTTTTGAAGGTAGGACTTTCTGAAGTAATTTTAATTATCGCATTGCTTTTTGGCACATTTGTTAGATTTTTAAATTGTTAGTAACATTTGTTAGATCAACATTTGTTGTTTCCCCCACAGTGATATTTCTGTCAACAGTGTACATTATTATCCTCAATTAAAAGATGCTATAAAGCATTCAGTTTTTTTATGAATATTTTTACGGCAGGTACTCTTATCACTTGAGCCATGCCCCTATAATGTATTTTTTAAAATCTCTACTGCCATTATTTTTTGACAAGTCAATCAACATAAATCTGTTTCTTTCTCTCGTGACTAATACCTCTTCTCAAATGGAGAGTGATTTCTTCAATTGCAGACACTTTTCTGGTTTAAAGTGCTGGGGCAGCTCTTTGTATTGGTGTGGCTGAGTTGAAATCAGTGCTCTTTGTTGATATTCTGTATAAATTAAAACGGCTTTTTTTGGCAGTACTGGATTTTGAACTGAGTTAGGCCTGCAGTCCAAATTTTTAATATTGAAATGAAGGCAAAATATTTCAATATCACAATTGAATTAAAACTATTTTACTACAACTGACTTAGAAATACATTTTCTACTTGCATTGGAAATGAAATGAAGGCAAAATATTTCAATATCACAATTGAATTAAAACTATTTTACTACAACTGACTTAGAAATACATTTTCTACTTGCATTGGAAAACACCAGTTTATTTTTAAAGGACTTTTAAATTCTTAAGAAAATTTTGCTTTATGAGTCATATCAGAAGATGGTATTCAATTGAACTTACTTAGCTTGTTCAGAAGAACTAAATCTTGCAAACATTAATAGTGATGCCCAAAGCTGTGGGTTTGATCCCATTACTGAAAAACAAACAGACAAAAAGGAGAAATCAAAACAAACATACATTCTCCCAGCACTAGGAATGCTGAGGTAGGAGAATTAACTGAGTCTAGGAGTTCCAAGAACAGTCTGGGCAACATAGTAAGACTCCTGTCTCAGGAAAATCCCAAGCCCCAAAATGGAAAAAAAAACAAAAACATAATGTACAAGTGTGAGAAATTATTAGGATAATGGATAATGGATTATTAGGATATTAGGATATCCTAATAATATTAGGATATTAGGATAATGGATTTCTATCTTTTTTTTTTTTTTTGTAGATAATGTATCCATTTTATTTTACCTATTTTTCAGTCCTGGGAATTGAACCCAGGGCCTCGCACATGGTAGGCAAGCACTCTGACACTGAGCTGTACCATCAGTCCAGCATAACTATTTTGCTTGTTCATAATTCTGTGTTTTAGTAATTTGAGCCATGCTCAGCTGATTTCATGCAAGCTTATGAACGCAGCAGTTGGCTATTGGCTCCGCAGGTACTAGGTTGTCCAAGGGAAAGTAATCACACATCTGTTGTTTTGATGTTGGTTTTCTCTTCTACCACCTGATTTCTCATTCTCAAGAAAAGCCAGCATTTAAGTTGAGATTAGAATCTATAAGACATCTTCTTTATTTATTTTATATTGCTGTGCTGGGTGAGGCACATTGTGCCATTTACAGAAGTTCTTACTATATATCAAATATATCATACTTGAATTCACCCGCCATTCTCCTTTATCTCTTCCCCTCCACACACACACACACCCATTCCTGGAACAGTTTCAACAGGTAACGTTATTCCATTTACATACATGTGTAACAGTATTTGTACTATATTCACCCTCCTACACCCTTTCCTTACCTCCCTCTGCCCTGCTGTTACCAACACCCCCAGGCAGGACCTTTTCTGCCATCCTGTTCTCCAATTTTGTAAAAGAGCAAAATAGGACATTTTTGTTTAAAATAGCTGCATAGGGAGTTTCCTTATGACACGTCCATGTATATATGTGTTTTAACCCAAATTGGTTCATCTCCTCTATTTTTCTTTTTTCTACCTTAGTCCCCTTCTTACGGTGGTTTCAGCAGGTTTAAAAATCCTATAATTCATTCTTGTATAGAGAGTACATCAATAGTCTTAACTTCCTTCTTTTACTATCCCCTCTCATATGTGACCTTCCCTTAGCATGACCCGTTTTTCATAATATTGCTGTATTTGCATTAGGTTTATATTCCACATATGAGAGAAGACATGTGCGTTTGGCCTCTGAACCCAGCTAACTTCACTTAAGATGATGTTCTCCAGTTCCAGCCACTTACCTGCAAACAGCAAAATTTCATTCTTCTTTGTGGCTGAATAAAGTTCCATTGTATATAAATATTTTCTTAATCCATTCATCAGTAGTGGGGCATCTTGGCTGTTTCCATAACTTAGCTATTGTGAATAATACTGCAATAAATATGGGTGTGCAGGTGCCTTTATTATAACCTGACTTACATTCCTTCAGGTATATCCCTAGGAGTGAAATTGCTGGATTGTATGGCAGTTCTATTTTTAGTTTTTTGAGGAGCCTCCATACTGTTTTCCATAGTGGTTGTTCTAATTTTCATTCTTGCCAGCAGTGTATGAAGGTTCCTATTTCCCTACATCCTCGCCAACATTTGTTACTGTTTGTGTTCTTGATGATAGCCATTCTAACAGCAGTGAGGTGGAATCTTAGTGTGGTTTTGATTAGCATTTCCTTTATGGCCAGGGATGGTGAGCATTCTTCATGTGTTGTTCAGCCATTTGGATGACTTCTTTGAAAAAGCACTGTTCAGGTCATTTGCCCATTTCTTCGTTGGGTCATTGATTTTTGGGGAGTTTAGTTTTTTGAGCTCCCTATATGTTCTGGTAGTTAATCCCTTGTCAGATGTGTAGCTGGCAGAGAGTTTCTCCATTCTGTGGGCGGCCTCTTCATTGAGAGGCCGTTTGTTTGTGTGCAGAAGCTTTGTAATTCCATGCTTTCTCTCGGTTGCTGAACCACTTGACTAACTTTTGAGGAAGCCGTGGCCTGTGTCCGCTAATTCTAGAGTGTTCCCTGCTCTTTCCTGCACTAGCTCAACCCACTTGCAGTTGATACTTGCACAGGGCGAAAGACAGGGGTCTAGTTTCAGTTTTCTGCCCGTGGATATCCACTTTTCCCAGCAGCATTTGTTGGAGAGGCTGTCTTTTCTCCATCATGTGTTTTTGGCATCTTTGTTGTACCGGCATGGAGTCATATCTGGGTCTTCTGCTCTGTTCCAGTGCTGTTCATGCTGTTTTTATTGCTGTGGCTCTGTAGTAGAGGTAAGTTGGGTATTGCGATAATTCCACTGTAGTACTTTTTGCTCAATATTGTCTTGGCTATTCATGGTCTTTTGTGCCTCCAAATGAACTTTAGGGCTTTAAATTTCTTTGATGAATGTCATTGGAATTTTGATGGGGAGTACATTGGACATGTAGATTGCTTTTGATAATATAGCCATTTTCACAGTATTGAGTCTACCAATCCATAAGCATGGGAGAGCTTTCCATCTTCTGTAGTATTTTCTGCTTTCATTCTTTGGTGGCTTATAGTTTTCCTTATAGAGGTCATTTACATCCTTTGTTAAATTTATTCCTAGGTGTTTTTTTGAGGGTATTGTAAACAATTATTTTCCTATATTCTTTCTCTATTCACTGTGTATAGAAAGGCTGCTGATTTTTGTAAATTCATTTTTATATCCTGCTGCCTTGCTGAAGCTGTCTATGGTGTCCTAAGAGGTTTTTGGTGGAGTTTTTCAGATGATGTCATCTGTAAATAGGATAGTTTGACTACTTCCTTTCCAATTTGTATTCCTTTTATTTATTCCTGTCTTACCACTCTGGTTAGGAATTCCAGGGCTATGTTGAATAAGAGTGGAAAGAGTAGACACCCTTGACTCATTCTTGACTGTAGAGAAAATTGTTTCAGTTTTTCCCATTTAGTATGATGCTGGATACAGGTTTGTCATATATAGCCTTTATTATGTTGAGGGACATTCCTTCTTTTCCTGGTTTCATCAGAGCTTTTTTCATGAAAGGATGTTGAATTTTGTAGAAGGCTTTTTCTGTATCTATTGAGATGATCATGTGGTTTTTGTATAAGACCTCTTCTGATCTAGGCTTAGAAATCTCATATGGCATCTGCAGTATTGTATTGGTCAAAGCAAGTCATGGGACTAACCCAAACATCACCAGTGGGGAAATAAACTTCACCACCTTTCCACGTTTTCTTTAAAAAGAAAAAGCTGGGCACTGGTGGCTTAAGCCTGTAATCCTAGCTAGACTAGCCCAGGCAAGTAGTTGGTAAGATACCATCTCAAAAGAGCAAAGTGGACTGCAGGTATGGCTCAAGCAGTAGAATGCCTGCTTTGCAAGTGCAAAGCCCTGAATTCAAACCCCTGCCCCACCAAAAAAAAAAAAAAATTTTTTTTTTGAGATATATTGCTTAGTGTGTGAGGCCATAAGTACGATCCCCCAAATAATAATAATAATAATAATAATAAATTGTGATATAATTCCACACCATAATATTCACTCCTTAAAATGTATGCTTTTATTAAGGCTTAGTATATTCATAAAGTTGCAGAACTATCAGCCACTAATTATAGAATACTCTTCTCACCCTTAAAAGAAACACTACCTATCAACAGTTAGTCATTCTGTTATCCTTCCTTCCATACCCTTGCCTCCATTAAGCCACAGTCTATTTTTTTTCTTCCATGGATCTGTTTGCTGAAGGCGTATATTGTTGAATGGCGAAAATTCTTTACACAATGTGATATTTTACCGAAGCCTTTTTGTCAACTAGAGATTACTTTAATGGGCAAACAGAACAGCAATAAAAAATCAAACATGGAAGATAGTATTGTTCGAAAGGTAAGTCAGTTTTTCCCATTTTTCTAATATTCTTCAGAAGTTATTTGAAGGCATTTTGAAATAATTTAAACTTTAAGTGGTTTTTCTGTAGCCCATGTAAATTCTTTTTCAGTTCTTTTTGGGTTTTATTGAATAATATTAATTTTCTTTTATCCATTTTTAGCTTCAGTTATCGTTCATCTTTCTAGACATTATTAAATGGATAATTTTTTAGAGTAACATACCTATTTTTTTTTAAACAAAAATATATTTTTTTTTTGGTGGATCTGGGGTTCAAATTCAAAGTTTCATATTTACAAAGCAGGTGGTCTACCACTTGATCTATATCTCCAGGCCATTTTGCTCTGGTTATTTTGGAGATGGTATTTTCTAACTATTTTTGCTCAGGCTGGCCTTGAACCTCTATCCTCTATCCTCCTGATCTTAGCCTCCTAAGTAGCTAGGATTGCAGATGTGAGCCATTAGCTCTTGGCTAGATTGCCTTCTTAGCATTTTGTGATTACTTGCTGTCACCTTGTTAATCTTTTCCTTAATTCTAGGGGTTGCAAACTCAGCTTTTTTCATGCTGAGTGTTAGAAATAACTGAAATACGAGAAATGCGTACCAAAAAAAAAAAAAGTAAAAAACACTTTTAGATGCTATTTAATTTGCAGTTCCATGAGTTATCCTCTTGTTTTTCTTATTTGTTTGATTTTTGCCATTCCCTATTGTTTGTATCACTTAATGATTAAAAACAATTTGAGTCTGCGATTTGAGCTGTGAGAGTGTGGGAAAGTCAGTGTTGCTCTTTGTGCCTATTGTTCCACATATGTAAAAAGGAGATAATTATAGCACCAGCATCAAGATTGTGAAGATTAAGTGAGTTATTATAAGGTATACAGTGAACATTATAAAACTGTTAGCTCCTGCTGTTATTAATATGGACCACTAACATGTACTCACCAACATGTACATATTATTTCTATCATTGTTCTCTTTTTTGTTTGGTGGTCCTGGGATTTGAGTTCAAGGCCTCACGCTTGCTAGTCAGCAGGCTACCGTTTATGCCACTCTCACAGCCCCATTTCTGTCATTTTGATGGATAAAGTATAAGGTAGATTTGCATATTCTTTTAAGGTCCAGTATCAAACAAATATTCTGCATTATTTAAGTAGTACAAACAGGTTTATATCAGTAAATATTTTAAACATACCAACATTTCCGAAATTTAATTTGGAACTGTAGAAGCAACATTTTCCATGTATTAATCATATTTAATTTTTACAACAGCCACTGGAAACATGTACTGTTATTTTGACTATTTTGACTTTGGAAAGGTAAATAAGTAACAGAGCTAGGACTCAAAGTCACTTGTTCCCGATTCTGAAACATGTGCTCTTTACCATTATGTTAAATATACTACTTCCCTAAAGTAGTCAAGTGAATTTAGATACACAAATTTGATTTCATTTTTTAAAGTGTTTGAACCAAAATTTGTGTGTATGTGGTATTTGCTATATCAATAATTGAAAATAATGCTATATTTTCTTATTTTCCTAGCTCATGCTTGACACATGGAATGAGTCAATTTTTTCAAATATAAAAAATAGACTCCAAGATAGTGCAATGAAGCTGGTACATGCAGAAAGATTAGGAGAAGCTTTTGATTCCCAGCTGGTCATTGGAGTAAGGGAATCCTATGGTACGTTCTGAACTTTTATAATTGTAATTTCCTTTTTTTTGGTACTGGGGTTTGAATTCAAGGCCTTTGCCTTGAGCCACTCAGCCAGCCCTTTTTGTGATGGGGTATTCTTGAGATAGGGTCTTGAGAACTATTTGCCCTGGCTGGCTTTGAACCACGATCCTCCTGATCTCTGCCTCCTGAGTAGCTAGGATTATAGCGTGAGGCACCGGCACCGAGCTGTAATTTCTTTTTTATGGATAGCCTAGATCAATTGTAGTTCTATTAGAGTTACGTTTATTAGCATATAAACGCACATCTACTTTTTTGTGTGTGTGTGCCAAATGCTTTTTTAAGAATATACAAGTGGGACAAGGTGGCAAAGATCAGGAGGATCGCAGTTCGAAGCCAGGCCGAGCAAATACTTTGCTAGACCCTATCTCAAAAAATACCCACCCAAAAAAGGGCTGGTGGAATGACTCAACTGGTAGAGTGCCTACCTAGCAAACCCTGAGTTTAAACCTCAGTACTGAAGAAAAAAACAGAGTATGCAAATGGTTATTAATTCTGCTTTAAAGAAACCTGCAGGGGCTCACGTGGTAGAGCATCAGCCTAAAAAGCCTGAGACCCTGAGTTCAAACCCCAGTACTGCACAATAGATAGATAATACCAACATTATAAACCTGCAGCAGTTCATGTGGTCAAATGTCCTCCTTATCTTTAATTTCTCAACTAGGAAATTTAGTTTTACTAGCCTAAATTAGAGAACTAGAAATTTGAATCTGTAGCTCATAAAACGTAACTGGTTTTTTATTGATGTTTTTCAAGAAGTTACTTCCCTGAATACATTCTCTCCTCCCTTCTCATCTTCTGACAGTGGTTTTCTCATTTGTATGTCTAGCCAGATACATTTTTTTGGCTGACTTAAACTAAGTCAGCTTCTCTCTCCAGCTTTTAATGCATTCTCATAGTTCATTTCCTCATGGAGGTCTTTTGTTTTTTTTTTTTTTTGAGCTTCAAATAGGTTCTTTTTTCTTTTTTTAATTGTTCTGCTGGGTAGGGGTACATTGTAGCATTTATGAAAGTTCTTACAATGTATCAAATATATCATATTTGAATTCACCCCCTCTGCCTTTCTCCTTTACCCCCCCATTCAAGTATGTTTTTTTTAATTCATTTATTCATATGTACATACATTGTTTGGACCATTTCTTCCCCATGCCCCCCGCCTCCTCCCTTTCCCCCCTACCAGGCAGAACCTGTTCTGCCCTTTTCTGCAATTTTGTTGAAGAGAAGACCTAAACAATAATAAGAAAGACATAGCGTTTTGCTAGTTAGGTAATGATAGCTATACAGAGAGATTCCTAGCATTGCTTCCATGCACAAGTGTATTACAACCCAAATTGATTTATCTCTACCAGACCTCTTCACTACTTCCTGGTCACCTTCCCATAGTGACCTCTGTTGTTTTAAGATTACTATATTAGCTCCTCTGCAGTGGGCACATCAAACACTTTCAAGTTTTGGGTTTCCTACCTTTCCCTATTCCTCCTGTATGTGTTCTCCCCTTAGCGTGTGACCCATGTCTAAGAATATTACTGCATTTGTTTTAGATCTAAAGTCAACCTATGAGGGAGAACATAGGATTTTTGGTTTTCTGAGCCTGGCTAATTTTGCTTAAGATGATGTTCTCCAGTTCCATCCATTTACTTGCGAATGATAAAATTTCATTCTTCTTCATGGCTGAGTAAAATTCCATTGTGTATAGATACCACATTTTCTTAATCCATTCGTCAGTGGTGGGGCATCTTGGCTGTTTCCATAGCTTGGCTATTGTGAATAGTGCTGCAAAAAACACGGGTGTTCAGGTGCCTTTGTAAAGTAACCTGAGTTGCATTCCTTTGGGTATATCCCTAGGAGTGGGATTGCTGGATCATATGGCAGATCTGTGTTTAGTTTTTTAAAAGCCATGGAGGTCTTTCTTAATTGCCAACTAGGTTAGTTCCTCTCAGTGATTCATAGTACCTGTGCCTCCTCATTGATAGTGTATCCTTACTGAACATAGAATGCCTGGCACAAAATCACTCTCAATAAGTATTTGTTGAATTACTTGGCCTATAGTTATTTTTAATTGGCTTTTCTCCATTGCTGTATATTTCTTTGATCAGTTCTTTAATTTTCATTAATATTATCCCTAAATTTATTCCTTATTTCATCTGCCATCAGTTTAGAACTTTTTAAATTTTGCAGCCTAGACTTTTGAAATAGTCTTCTTATAGCAGTTCTATTGCTGTCACTTAATTCATACATTTAATTTTTAAGTACTGTTTTCTTAATTTTTTCCTACTTACCTGTTTAATGGTATACCAGGCTACTTGGTTTGAGATTTGAGGCTCTCCACAGCCATTCCTAATTTATCATTCTACATCATCTTCTGTTAACTTTATAGTCCACTTAGACAACTTAGTCATTATATTTTGTGCTTTTCTGCTTCTGAATATCTACTTATCTCTTTCTATGTAAAATCTTCTTTATTCCTTAAGATTCATTTTCAATTCTGTCTGTTCTGTGAATGGCTTCTTCATTATTGATTTATAAGTTAGTTTCTTTCCTGTTCAAAAATAAAATATTTTATTATAGTATTTGCTACTTAACTGTTTTGTTATTTTTTTCCTTTTGACCATACTGGGATTTAAACTCAGGGTCATGTGCTTGCTAGTCACATGCTGTACCACTTATGATACAACTCCAGCCCTATTTTACTGTTTTGTGTCATGATCTTTTTTAAGTTTCTTTTTATAGAGAAGAATTTTGTCTTATATGGTTATATACTCTTGTGAACATCCTCATCTTACACATAATGACTCCTTAATATTCATTTATTGTAGTGAAAATACTGATTCAGATCATAATTGAAATTTTATTTTCTGTTTTTCAGTTAACCTTTGTTCTAATCCTGAGGATAAGCTTCAGATTTATAGGGACAATTTTGAGAAGGCATACTTGGATTCAACAGAGAGATTTTATAGAACACAGGCACCCTCATATTTACAACAAAATGGTGTACAGAATTATATGAAATATGTAAGTCAGAACTTAGTACATTTGGCAACTTGAGCTACTCTTCCTGACATTCTTAAAATGATTGCTATTTTGCTTCTGGACAGGCAGATGCCAAATTAAAAGAAGAAGAAAAACGAGCACTACGTTATCTAGAAACAAGACGAGAATGTAACTCTGTTGAAGCAGTAAGTAATTTTTGAATTGTTCCTTTTTATGGGCTATTTGAAGTAATGTGGCATAGGGATGGCCCATACGTGGCCCATACACGATACTGGTGTCCTTATTTATCTTTCTTGAGTCTGTGACCTAATTGGTTATAATATTCTTCCCTCTTCCCTAGTGACCAAAAGCACCAAAGGCAGCTCACTCAGAACACATTGTTCTTCAGAACTTGCATGCACAGTGAAATCTACTGGCTCTAGACTACACATACTCAGTGTATAATATTTAATTTTCAATTACTATCCTCTTATGTTTTATACATATTTAAAGTATATCTTTTCTATCAAAGATAATAGTGGTGCCAGGTGTTTTCTTTTACCTGAAGAATTCATCTTAGTGTGCTTGAGTAAGAAAAATAAGAATCATGGTTGGGCAGAGTTTTGGAATCTGCTCAAATATAACAGCACTATCCTCTAATTCCTTTCAGACTTTGGAGCAGAACTGAATTTATGTTCAAAGGTGTGACATTCCAGTTCACCTATAACCAAACATTTTTTAATTGTGGTAGGATTTAGGAAAAAAAAAATGCAGGCCCACTGTGGTGATTCAAGCCTCTTAATTTTAGTTATTTGGAAGGCAGCAATCAGGAGGACCACGGTTCAAAGCCAGCTTTGGAAAAAGTTTGAGGGCTTAGTGGCACACACCTGTCATCCCAGCTATGTGGGGAAGCACAAATGGAATCACAGCCCAGGCATAAGTAAAAACCTATCCCAAAAATTATTAGTTCAAAAAGGGCTGGCAGAGTGTCTCAAGTGATAGAGTCCCACTGGTAGCAAGTGCAAGGCCCTGAGTTCAACCCCTAGTACCTCAAAAACAAAACAAAACAACTCTTACCTGGTTTTGGCTTCTTTGTCTTAACAACAGTCATGTATATCTTATTCTTTGTTCAGAAATCATGCTGAGTTGAGTCTTTTCCCTTGTTTTCCTTTGGGGTTGGTTGCTTGCTCATGATTTGCAGTATAAAAAGTTTTAGTGGTTAACAGTAATTTTGATATTGGGAAAGGTGAAGGGCAGGGACTACTTTAGTGTTTGCTTATAGAAGTTCTTCATAGAAATTTAAAGCCAGGCTTGGGCTTCATTTAGAAGGTAGGGCCATTGAATATTTTTTAAACAGATATGCCATGATCAAAGTTGTCATTCAGGAAGATTAATCTGGTAATACTGAAGATTAATTGGAATGAGAAGAGCTGGGAATAAGAGGTAGAAGATTTTTGCAACAATTCAAGCAAGGAACTGAGTATTGAATAAGAGTATGTATAGCAGTGGGAATGGAAAAGACAAGGGTAGAAAGAATTCCAGAGGTAGAACATTGTGTCACAGGTATTGGACCAGATAGATACTGCAGAGAACCAAGCCCATAGTGTTCTGAGATTTCAGCAGAGCTCTGTGCTGTAACAGAGAGATTTTAGTGAGGGAACAGGATGAGTTCAGTTTGAGGGACTTGAATTCTTTTAGTAGATTGATATTTCTGGGAGAGGTTACTGCCATTTTAGAAGGTAGAATTGTTCCGTTCTACTTCAGTTTTTACATTTTTTCTTTTTGTATAATACTTATATTCATCTTACAAAGGTCCAACCAAGAGAGAGTAAATGAGAATGAGAAAGATAGAAATAACAAATAATACAGTTTGCATAGGATAATTAAGTCTTCCTTTGTGCTTTAAAACACACAAAGAGCTTGATATAGAAGATATGAATTCACTTATAAGCATCTCATCAAAAGTGAAAAGATTAATTTTTGTTGTAACAACAGAGGTTCCCCAAGTGTAATATGTCATGTCTCCAAAGAAATTGTAATTTATAGGGGATGTGACAAGTCTGTTTCTGTGCTTTGATTTATTTAGTCTTAATTTTCTGCTTATTTTTTAAAAAATCAACTATTTTGATTGATATGTAACAGATACAGAAAAGTACAAAAGTTGTAAGTATATATGCAATAGGTGAATTGTCACAAAGTGAAAACACACATGAAATCACCAAAACAAGAATTACCAGCTATTCAGAAGCCTTCCAGTATGTCTACTTCAAGTTGCTTGTCATCTTTTTCTTCAAAGGTTATAATTCTCTTACCTTTTTAGCAACATAGATTAATATTAACTTGCAACCACTACATGGTTTGTGCAGTAAGCTTTGGTGCAGAGGAGACAGCATCTGTAGGATTAAAGATAACATTGGGAACTTAAAATTTAATGCAAATACATTACTGTATTAGAGACCTCCTTGAGCTAAGAAGGCCATAATATTATATACATCTTATTAATATTTGTTTCTTTACTATATTTTCAAAGAGAAATCATGTCAAAATGAAGTATGTATGAGAGAAGGAACACTAATTTAATATGAACAAAATACAAGGAGTATTATTTAAACAGTAAGAAATAGTAACTTTCTATATTAAAAACTATCAGGACATATTTACTGCCTAAAAATTTTATCTTGGAAAGCAATGCTTGGTGGCTTAACACCTGTAGTCCCAAGACTCAGGAGAATTGCAAGTTTGAGGCCAGTCTCGGCTACATAGCAAGATTCTGTTTCAAAAAAAGGAGAGGGGTTGCTAAAAGTGGCTCAAGTTGTAGAGCACCTGCTGGGAAACACAAGGGCCTGAGTTCAAACCCCAGTCCCACCAAAAACTCAACTCTCTTATAGGTATTAACTCAGAGTGCGTCCTGCTATATCTTAATGCTTCATTGATACTAGTTTCAGTCTACACTTGCCTATTAGGCTATGCTTACTAAAGGAAGATAATTATAAAATAGCAGTAATATGTTTTATTCATGTATTCTTTTCAGATGAGGCTACGTAATAATGCACACGAAGTTTAAGATTAAAGTATTTACATTTTTAGCATTTATCTTTTTCTTGGAACATTAGGCAAATTTTGTTTTATCAGTTACCTCCTTTTGAAGTATTAGTATAAGCTAGTCTTCTAAACCTGATTTTGAAAAACTAAAATAAGTTTTTGGATCTATGTTCTGTATAATATAGCAGATCTCACCTAGACAGTACCCAGTTTTGAGGCCAGGCCTAATAAAGTCCTAATAAAAGTGTACATTTCAAGCAGAGTTCATGTAGTATTTAACAGTTTACTGATTGTTTTTAAGAGCTTTTTTGTTCTTTTGGGTATTCCAAGCATCTCATTACATCCGCAAGTGGTGATGCTTGCTGCTTCCTTTCTAATAGTAACGTCCCCTATTTCCTAAGTAAACTAAATTTATTGGCATTTAATTCTAGAAAACTATTAGTAATTTTTAGAGATCTTTATCTTCTTCCTGTCCTTGAAGAAAGTGATTCTAAGTTATCACCAGTAAGCATGATGTTGATTTTTGTAATGATGTATAAATTTATGATGTTAAGAAAGATCCAGTTATTTTTCTTCTACAAGGAATATAGTTGGGTTTGGTGGTGCATGCCGAAAGTCCCAGCTACTCAGAAGGCTGAAACAGAAGGATTGCTTGAGCCCAGGATTTTGTAGCTAGCCTGGGCAACATAGTAAGGTTCTGTCTAAAAGAGACAAGAATTATTAGGAATATATGTGTAGTAAGCCTGCTTGATTCACGAATTTATTACATGTGGTTTTAAACACCGGTGGTCAAATAAGTAAATATTTTTAAATTCAAAGAAATTTCAGGGCTGAAGGTATGGCTCAGACAGTAGAGTGTCTGCCTAACAAGTGCAAAGCCCTGAGTTCAAACCCCCATGTGCACATTACACAGCTCAGTTGATGTGGAGAAGCTCTCAGTCAGTTTTGCGCTATCACAAGTTGTGTTTAAATCATTGTGTGATCTGCTGAGTGGGGTCCTGCCCCTTTCGTTTTGTGAAAGTATGTCTCCCAAAAAAGCAAGGCAAAAGTTATGGTAATTTTTCCAAGACAAAAAGGTCACAAAATGTGTTTAATTGAAGTGATAAAGTGAATTTTAGATTTGTTGAACGGCAGCATGTCTTCAGCTCAAGTTGGGTGGCATTGTGGGAAAATGAATCAAATGTCTGCAGTACAGTATTGAACTCTAGGCATCCTGAACATACAGTTTTTTCTCAACAACAGTCTCCTTGGAACCATATACTGGCTAATAACAATGGTCTACTGTATCTTAGTCTTATTTTATGGAAAAACATTGGATATATTTCCACAAAAATCATGAATAAGGCAAGGATGCCCACTATTTCTACTACTGTTTAACATTACATTTGAGATACTAGCCAGTCAATATGAGCCTAAGTATGGGTGAGTGAAGTAAACTGTCTTAGTTTGGAGATGATATAGTAGTATATATAGAAAACCCCATACAATCAATAATAAAACTCATTCAAACAATAATTCAGTAAAATCACAGGATATAAAATTAACATAAAAAATCAATAGCTGGGAAGAACCTCATTCATAATAACAACAAAGAAAAGTAAAAGCCCGGTGCAGGTTGCTCCCATCTGCAATCCTAGCTACTCAGGAGGCAGAGATTAGGGGGATCACAGTTCAGAGCTGGTTCCAGGAAAATAGTGGAGACTCTATCTCCTGGGGAAAGAGGGGAACCGTCACAAAGGAGGGCTGGTGGAGTGGCTCAGGTGGTAAGAGTGCCTGCCTAGCAAGCATGAGGCCCTGCATTCAAACATACCCCCCTAAAAAAAAAAGAAAATGTTTGAGAATAATTTAACAACTGTGTGAAACCTAGTAGGGGGAAAAATTTAAATACTATCAAAAGATTCAGAAATAGACTTAACTGAACAGAGTCACCTTTTAAGTGTTATGACTGAGATTTATGAAGATATTAGTTACTACCCAAATTAGTTTATAAATTAACTGATTTCAAAAAAATAGCAACTATTTTATGATAATAAAATTTTGATTTTTCATAAGCTAGACTGCTTACAATCTGATCTGTATTTATTGAGCACTCATTGACCCTGCAAATTTTTTATTTAGTCTGTCTATACAACAGACAGAGGGAATACAACATGAGCCAGTGTTTTCATAGAGCAAATACTCTAGTGGAGATAGATAAAAGCAAGTAAATAACTAAGTAAAAAGTCATTCTTTATAAACTAGAGTAATGCTGTAGATAGTAAGTTGGTGATAGTGCTCCTCTCATTGCTTCTATTCTGTGGGTATGGTCAGGAAGGGCTTTGAGGGAGTGATAGTGGAGCTAGGACCTGATCATGTGGAGCCAGCCTCCTAAAGATGTGAGAGAAAAACCATTGTAGGCAGATGGAAGAGCTACTGTAAAGGCTTTGAAGGAGTGAGGAGCATATATAATTGTTTTTTACAAAATGTGTTATTTCCCAACTCTACTTTTGTCCTACATTGGAGCCCCGTTCTGCTTCTACTCTGTCAGACCCCATCTCAGCAGCTGGGCATGGTGGCATGCACCTATTACTTCCACTGTGTGAGAAGTGTAAATAGGAGGATTGCAATTCAGGCATAAATACGAGACCCTGTTTGAAAAATAGCTTAAGCAAAAGCTTAAAGGTGGGTGTGTGGCTCAAGTGGTAGAATACCTGTCTAGCAAGTACAAGGCCCTGAGTTCAAACTCCAGGACCACCAAAAAAACAAAACATGCTTATGACCTTCCATGGTGTCATAAGCAACGTCAAATTCCTTGGTGTTAATTCACCAAGTACTACTGATCAAGTAACAATAGCCCTGAGCCATTGGTATCACAGGTTCTTTAATTCTAATCTTAATTACTAATTTTAATAACTCTCAGATCACATATTATACTTTACACAATAACCATATATAGGTTATAGAATGCTAAGAAAGCGTTAAAAAGGCAGTAGAGTTTAGAGGGCTATGTTGGAGGTATAGGCAGAGAGCTGATACAGATGCAAGGACAGGTCTCCAGGGAGAAATTCTGTGTAGGGAACCAGATATGAAGAGTTTCAGGTTCAAGTTCAAGGCGAAGAGTTGTCAAGTGCAGGTCCAGGTCACAGGCCATTCTGAATGTGAAGTTTGTTGTGGATGGTGTCACTGGCAGGAGAAACTGCATTCTAACTGAAGTCCTACCACAGAGGTGGAGGTCCTTCACTTTGGCAATTTTCCTTGTTGAGGCTCCTTACCAGTGACCATGTGATGGGTCATTAAGTCTGCCATATCTCAGCCTTGGCAGGAGCTGGGGTGGGGGTGGGGTGGCAATGCTGCTTTTATTGTCACAGGTTAGGGGGGTTTACATCTGGTGTGCTTGCTAAGTTCATGTATCTAGTGTTTCTGATACAATGAGACATATGTGCAGATGTAATCTTTTATTGGTGCAAATTACCACTTTATTTCTCATGGTGTGCTGGCAGATGGTATAGTTGTTTACTTGTATAAACAAGGTGGAGAGTGATTATATTTTGGCACTTTTTCTTAAAATGGAGTACTTGACGTCAAAACTATTGCCTTATAAAATGGAGTACATCAAGGCTAAGCACAGCCTTAAAGATGCTGTTCTATATAACTTAGAGTAACTGAGAACAGGCCCAGTCTCTTCTCCTCAACAAGATGTTGGGTCTGGGGACCTACAGGACAGATGCCTGAGTCAGTATCCCATCCCCTATGGAGAGCACTGTACATAGTCTCATAAATCTGCCATGGGGCTGATTTCCCCCCAGTAAGGGGCAAACAGACCAGCTTATCAAAGAGAGCCTGCATACATGAATCCACAGCCAATGGAAAGAACCCACCTAACCCTTACCCTAACCTAGAGTTAAAGTGCCCATAAAAAGCCCCAGCCTTCGCCTTGGCAGGGAACCACCGGTTTCCGGGCTCCACTGCACTGTTCCAGCTGCACCCTTTTCTTTTCCTAATAAATCTACCTGGGTGTGCACTCTCCATGTCTCTTGAGCTTATTGCTAAGCCCAGTGCAGACAAGAACCCCTGGAGTGGCCCCCTGCACCCCACAATAATATTTTTCTGCTGATCAGGTTCATTATCTCCTACACTTAATAGGTGTTTGGTTGAAGTTGGGACCATGAAAGCTGCCAGCCTGGCTTTGCAGTTTTTGACCTGACAGATGATAAAAGTCTTCTCTCACTGGTTTTAATTAGTGCAGTTCTAATTGGCCCAGCTTGGGTTGAGTGCCCAAACTTGGATCAAATGTGTATCTGTCTTTTGTCTATGTGTGTATGCAGGCTTCAGTGCTAGTGTGTATGTACAGTGTAGAAAGAAATACTTGACTTATCCAGAGGACAACTCCATTCAGTATTTTTTAGCTATTTGCACTTCACAAAAGAATCTAGAAAGGTAGTCCAAGAGTGTTGAACAGGTAAGTATTACTTCAAATGTTTGAAAGCCCCATTGTTACTGTTTTACTAACAGGAGAGCCTCTTAGGCTCTATTCAGATCCAGTGTTGCACACAATTCTAATGATAAGCTTTATCACCTATGGGTGGATCTATAGCAAGTGAGCAGCAGAATATAAGGAGAACAAGGTAAGAGGTTTGAGAGCTTTGCTGTTGAACAGGTGTACTAATGGCAAAAAGTGACAAAACCATAAGAAAAGTAAGAAAAAATTTAAAACAAAAATGACTTTTAAATTTGTCATGGCCAGACACCAGTGACTCATGCCTATAATCATAGCAACTTGGGAGGCTGAGATTGGGAGGATAGAGGTTTGAGGCCAGCTTGGGCAAGTAGTTTGTGAGATCCCCATCTCCAAGATAACCAGCCCAAAATGGACTGGAGGTGTGGCCCAAGTGGTAGGGCACCTGCTTTAAGCACAAAGCCCTGAGTTCAAATCCCTGTCCCTCTAAGAAGAAAAAAAGTTTGTCATGGCTGTCTAGTTTTAGGTGATAGTCCTATATGTACTTTGGTTTTTCCTGAGGGCATCGAGTTAGATTGTATTTTGCATCTGTAGCTCTAGGACTGGTTGATAAGATGGACTTGGCCTCTGTCCTAATGCTGATACTTGACTAAAATGAGTTGCTTATACAGTGGGGTAATGAAAAGGTAGTTGGCAGTACATGTCTTGGCTCTTCAGAATGGCCAGAGCACTGTCAGAGAAGCAGTAGCTAGGGGCACACACCTTGGAATCGGTGAGGATTTGAATTCCACTATTGTTATTTTACATTTGCTGCACCTTGGCAAGTTACTCAACATATGTATCAGTTTTGCTAACTATAAATGGGATAATACCTAGAAAAGGAAGTATAACTATTCATGTTGTCAAAATTAAATATGATGTATTAAACATGCAGCACTGCCTGGCATGATAGCTTTTACTGTTAGGGCTCTGGTTTGGAGAAAAGTTCTTACCAATTCTAATACTAGAAACTGTTATGCAAAACTGACTTTAAAAGTTGATCAAAAAGAATTAACCTAGAAGGTAACACCCACGCACAGGAAATCAATGTGAGTCAATGCCCTGTATAGCTATCCTTATCTCAATCAGGCAAAACCCTTGTTCCTTCCTATTATTGCTTATACTCTCTCTACAACAAAATTAGAGATAAGGGCAAAATAGTTTCTGCCGGGTATCGAGGGGGTGGGGGGGAGGGGGAGGAGTGGGTGGTAAGGGAGGGGGTGGGGGCAGGGGGGAGAAATGAACCAAGCCTTGTATGCACATATGAATAATAAAAGAAAAATGAAGAAAAAAAACTGAAAAAGCAACTTAGATCATAAGTTATAAATTATTAAAATAAATACTTGCTAACCTTCAGTATTTCAGTATGTTAAATGTTCTAGGTTTAATCCCTTCTACCGCAAAAACAGAACATAATAATAATTTTAAGAAAGGTTACTTACACAGTTTAGAAATAAAGCAAGTGCCACCAGTTACAGTGGTAGCAAAAGGATTCTGATCCAACTAAAGAAGCTGAGAGAAATTAATTTTGAGAATACCCTACCACACTTAGAATGAATGAATTCTGGAATAGGTTACAGATGTCCCTGTATAGTTGGGGGCCTGGTGATAGTAGAGTCTTAAAATAGAGAAGCCTAAGGTAATTTTTAGTTCAATTCTTTCTTTATAGCTGAGGCAAAGCAGATTATTACTTACACATAGTTATATAATTAACAATAATAGAACCGTTTTGTTGCTTTTTAGTAAATTTCAATGAAGTAGAATTGTGCAAATTGAATACCACTAAAAGAAGAATCTACCACATTCCTTAGCCCACCTATCTCATCTTTCATCTTCACAATGCTGTGAATTCATTCACTTAACAAATACTTACTGTCTGCTTGGTTTCATGGCAGGCCTTATCTGTGAAGGTTTATAGTCTTGCTGTAGCAGGGGAAAATATCAAGCATATTGATAGTTAAAGTGTTTCACCTTACAGACATCTGGGGACAGATTGTTATGGATTTAGAAGTTGTGCTCACCTCAGGCAAACAATTATAGGAGTTGATGGCATATGGCAAAAAGGTTTTTTTCTTCATGGAAGCTAGGAAATGGAGACAGAAAGGGAATACAAGGTGAGAGAGATGGCTTATCTCTGTCCTTTCCATTCACAACGTGTTTTTCACATAACAAGTATATATTTAGGATGGTCTATGTATGTAGTACTTTGGTAAATGATGGGGAAGAAATACAAAAGAGGATTAAAATGGTCTTTGTCCTTAAAGAACTGAAGACAGTGGGTAGTGTTGGTAGGACACTACTCATTTGTAACAAGGACAGAACTCTTAACAGTCTCTTTTTTTTTTTTGCCCAGTTAGAAGTTTTCTGAAGGGTTTTTCATTACACAGGGTCTACACTGTAATTTTTTTTTAAAAAGCTTCGTTATTAAACTTTCAAATATTCATACAAGTAGAGAAAATAGTAGCACGAACCTCACCCACCACACTCAGCCTCCAGATTCAACAATAACTATCATTTTGTTATTCTAACTTACTACACTTGTCCTTCCTTCCTCCCTCCCTCCCTCCCTCCCTCCCTTCCTCCCTCCCTTCCTCTCTTCCTCCCTTCACTCTAGCATTTTAAAAGACATTTATGACATTGTGCATTTTTACTCCACACTTCTATCACATTATACCTATATACTGTAATACATATAACCAGTCTAATAATGATGGCCATTTTATTTTCCTTGTTTATAGCTTATGTCTTATAAGTAGTGCTTCTTAGAGTGTCCGTATTTGCCTATTTCTTTTTAACATTTGTGTGCCTGCTTCTTTCCTCATACTTTGCATTCAGTTGGAATGGCAGCTCTTAGAAATGAGATGGCTGAAGGAAAGGGAATATCCATTGACAAATTGCTACCTAATACCAAACTGACTTTCATAGTTGTAATTGTTACTGTGATCAACAGCATATATTTTAATCCATATCTCTGCAGGTCTCAGTTGTTGGTATTCATTTTTTTAATTGTCTCCCAGTATCATAAATTTAAAAATATTTCTGTGCATTTAAAAGTTGTTGATGAGGCTGGACATATTCTTGATGATTTATATTTTGTTTCTAAGTTAAGGCAGATTTTTCATAAACAACATATTTATTGTTTTGCTTCTTTTATATAAAAAAACCCTAAGTATCATTATTTCCTATCCCTGATCTTCAAGGCCTGTCAAAATTTGGCCCTAACCTGTTTTTCTAACTTAATAATGTTCAACAAGCTGAGTGCCAGTGGCTCATACCTGTAATCCCAGCTACTTGGGAGGATCGGGAGGATCAAAGTTTGTGGCAAGCTTGGGTAAATAATTCATGAGACCCCATCTCCAAATTAACCAGAAAAAAAGTGGACTGGAGGTGTGGCTGAAGGCGTAGAGCACCTGCTTTGTATGTGTGAAGCCCGGAGATCAAACCCCAGTCCCACCAAAAGTTCAGCAAGAGTCACTCTACTCTTACAAGGAATATTTCTCTTTTACATAAATGCATTCTATTCATTTTTTTCCCCTTGAAATTGTATTGGTAATCTTTTACTTTTGTTCTGCCTGTCCCAAAACATTGCAAGAATCCTTATAAACCAACTTGTAATAAAGTAGCCCAAGTTTTCTCACCTTCATTATTTTCCTCTTACTTGAATCCCCACGGTATCTACCGTTTTTACATTAGAATTACTAGCAAATTATATACTGCATTGTTGTGTTATTTATCAAGCACCAGCTATTTGTGAGACTATGACTATAGCTGTGGACAAAACACAGTCCCTGTCCTTATGAAGTTTATACTATAGTGATGATACATTTATTTCCACTTCTTTGCTTATTATTGAAGTTAAACTTCTTTTTTATAAGCTTTTTGTATACTTTCCATATACATGTGAAGCATGCAGATGCTTTTAGGTATATAGTTATATTCCTGTCTGGATTGTAGGATCATAGGGGATATGAACTATGTTTTATACTTCTGTTTCTTAAAAACACTAACTTAGTTCTAAGCACATGGCTGTTACCAAGTATGTCCATGGTCCATTGATGTAGCAAGCAAAGTTGGAGGCTGTGGAGTCACATACCTTCCTCAAGTTACAGCTTACGTCCTTATGAACTAATGGCAGTGTATGCAAGTTACTTACTCTCAGCTGTGTCTTCATAAATTAAATAGCTGCTTCCTAAGGCTGGTGTGCGGGTTAAATGAGATAACATGTAAAGCATTTAGCATGATGCCTAGTACAGAGTGAGTGCTCATTAAAAGACCTGTTACTGTAATTATTTCAAGCCAGAAGTTGCTTTAACAGCCTTTCATTTCCCCAGTGCCTTTCATTGAGCAGTTACCAAATTAGTTTCCTTAAATTATTTTGTCAATCTATTCTCTCCTTTTAGTCTTTATTGTAACCCATAATAAATACCTTATATATATATATATATGTTATGTATATACTTTATATATAATTTATACATAAACATATTACAGTGTTTATTTGTGCGTATCTGAAACAAAAGTTTTTTGAAATAATACTCATTGTTAGGAGGTGTGTTTTTATTTTTTTTTTTTGTTCTGTTGTATTTTATTTAAAAAAAGGTGGTCACTGCTGTTAAAACTGATTTCATAGCAATTTGAAACATACTGGTGTGGATTTTTGGAATATGTGTAATTTAGACTACCATCCAACAGGTTAATGTCCAAGTGAAAGTTTTCATTGAAATAGAAAATAGATGAAGTGACAAGGGCTCAAAGCTTATTTACATTGTACTTCCTGTTTGTTCTCTATTAGTTGTGTGGTTAGACTAACCTGTTTTCAGGCTGATCTCACTGCCGAAGGTAGGCGTACTCAGTGCATACACTCTTGAGTAGACAGGAAGCTTCCTCCTAATGTGTTGGGACAGAGCTTCCCTCCTTGAAAGCCAAGAATTTGTCAACTACTTCATGTGTGTGTTGTTTTCAGAGGACAGAAATGGGATAGATACATGGATTAAAAAGTCAGTAGCATAGTTCTTCAAGAGGGACTAGAAAAAATTTTTATTAGGAAATTTGTAAACATTTTATGAAGCAAGAAGAAAAGGGGTGTCTGTTTATTTTGTTATTAGACAGGGCCTTGCTACGTAGCCCAGGCTGACCTCAAAACTTAACCCTCCTGTGTCGGCCCTCCAAGTGCTGAGATTACAGGCATGTGTCACTATACCTGATGAAAAGTAGGAAGAGTAGTATAGTGAATCCCTATTACCTGAATTCACATTCAGTGATTATCAACATTATATCAATTCCAAGAGGAGTTTTGGCAAAGAATTTTTAAGATACACATAATTGCCTTCCTTAATACAGATAGATGATTCGGTTTTTGGGAGAGAGATGTCAGCCTTCTTAAACCTTGCTTCAGTATTCAAAGCATATTTATTTGATCCCTGCAAAAGGAGTAAGTGATTGCATTATTTTGAGGGAAGCCTCCTAGAATCCTAGCCTCTTGCCTTTTAACTTCAGATATTTCAGCATCCTCCTTTACCAGTCTTCCTTCTGCCTACTGCATACCCAGATCCTCACTGCCACCACAATGATCATTAACAGTGACTCAGGAAGGAGAATTACTGCTTCTATCCTCTGATCAGAACTTCCCTGGTTCTTCCTTTCTATACAATAGATTCCTTTCTCAGATCATAGATTTTCATTCATAATCTGGCTTTATCTCATTTTTCTAGCTTTGTCTTCCACTGTTTGTCTCTTCCTTTCCATATCTACCTTCTTATTCCTAAATACTTAACTCCATTTTAGGATTACTGATTTTCAAGATCCAATTTAGGCATCTCTTGTAGATGAGTAGTTTAGACTCTCCCCTCACTCTCAGACAGTGCTCTTCTGCGGGGCAGGTACTGAATCTTACTTTTCTTTGTCTCCTAAACACTCTTTTGTGCTGACTCTAGGCATCCAGTACTGGTTTGTTGAATAAATGTGTTCACACTTTCAGAATTTTAGAATCTAATTCCAGTACAGGTTCTCTCCAGATAAGAAGAGTTAACCAACTTATTTTTCTTTTTGATTTGTATATTTTAATTTCTTTGTTGGAGATTTTTGTTAAAATTTCTAAAGAGAACCTAAGTTCATTAGCTTTTTCCTTAGAAAGAAATACACTTTGATAAACTAGAGTAGAATATCTATCTTCAGGTAAGTAAAATCTACTTTTAGCATTTTTTTTTCTGTTGAACAATGTGGTTTTATTTTGTGAATGGGAATAGAATTTTGCTATAAAGCTTATAGTAGCCTTGACTTACTTTTGCTCTATTTCAGCTCATGGAATGCTGTGTAAATGCCTTGGTGACATCATTTAAAGAAACTATCTTAGCAGAGTGCCAAGGCATGATCAAGCGAAATGAAACTGAAAGTAGGTAAAATGTCACATCTTTAAAAAGAGTATTTTTGAAGCAAATCCCTTAACAAATTATTGTTAGATTATCCTTTTACACATATTTATATTTGTATGAGTAAATAATGTATGCTTAAAGAAAATGATGAAATATTTAACACAGCAGCACTACTAAAGAGTTGACAAGCCTAAATTGTAAGCATTTTCCCCCCTTTAGGTATCAATATATGTGTGTGTGAAACATCTACTTTTTTTCTCAAAAGCAGAACTGCATTTAAAGACCAATTTAAATTGTAAACATATGGTATAGTATAGAATGGGGTATTTGACTTCTGTGGAACCTTGTGGTGAATCTTTTTAGAAAATAACAAAACACTCTGATAATTTTTATTCCTGTTTTCCCCCAAACTAAAATGTTTCTTAATAAAGGTATGGTTTGGGAAGTATCAGGTAAAGAATAAAGAAGAAAAATTGCACGTATCCCTTCTACCCTGAAAGAACCATTTTGGTGTTTGGATTTTATTGTGTCTAACTGCAAGGTCCTATTTAATCTAGTTGTATTGAAAGTACATATCTTAACTCCTAAGTCCATAAGACTGTTTAGGAGTTATGTAGTAAAAAAGCAAGTTGCTCATTGGCATAAGTGAAGTATTTGAATTCTGTATGCCATTCTAAGTAGAATTCATGCTAGACTCCTTACAAAAGGATTTATTTAGTGCTAATCAGTACCATGAAATAGGGTTTTATGAAAGTCAGTTAAATGATATAACATGAAAAGGTGCTGTGTAAATTAAAAAATCCTTTATGAATACAGTTTTATTGCTAATACCATGTCTCTTATGTTTTTAATTCTTCAATGATATGAGTATATTTTTAATACTGCAACTACTTTATAAAATGTGCTGCCCTTCCGTGTATACTTTTTTTTTTCATTTTTCTTTTATTATTCATATGTGCATACAAGGCTTGGTTCATTTCTCCCCCCTGCCCCCACCCCCTCCCTTACCACCCACTCCACCCCCTCCCGCTCCCCCCCCTCAATACCCAGCAGAAACTATTTTGCCCTTATCTCTAATTTTGTTGTAGAGAGAGTATAAGCAATAATAGGAAGGAACAAGGGGTTTCAACCAGCAAAACCCCTTGTTCCTTCCTATTATTGCTTATACTCTCTCTCAACCGTGTATACTTTTGTACTTCTTTTTTTTTTTTTTCTGAGCCAAGGTCTTGCTGTGTAGCCCAGGCTGGACTGGAATTCGCTGTACATAGCGAGACAATCCTGTCTCCACCTCACAGGTGCTGGGGTCGCAGGTGTGCACCACTGCTCTTAGCGACTTTTATACTTTTTAGAATAAAAAGTGTTTATATTTCATGTTATTGGAGGTTAAATGGAGTTAGATTTTTTTTTAAGTAATTTTTGTTTAACGAGAAGGTAGATCAGGAAGCTGTACTTACTACAACAACTTCTAACCTAATTCTACCCATGGAATGCTATTAATATTTATAAACTTACAACTATTGTTTCTCCAAACTTATTACCATAGGCACTTCATAATGTAAATCAGAAAATTTAGTGGATAAAGTAGTTATATGAGTATGTTCTGTCTTTTCAGAGTTACATTTAATGTTTTCATTGATGGACAAAGTTCTTAATGGGATAGAGCCAATGTTGAAAGATTTGGAGGAACATATCATTAGTGCTGGCCTGGCAGATATGGTAGCAGCTGCTGAAACTATTACTACTGTAAGTTTTCTTCAATGATAATGATAGGTGTATATCAAAGTTATTTTTAAATGCAGGATTATGTATTTAATACAGCAATTTAACCAGCAAAGCAGTAATATTGGAATATCTTTTAATATTTAAGAAAAAATTTCTCCAGTTTTAAAACTATATAGTGTTTTAGTGAAACTATATATTTTCTCATTTTTTTATATTTCCTTCTAAAAACTCAATTAAATGTAAACCGTTTTGTTTCCAGGACTCTGAGAAATACGTTGAGCAGTTACTTACACTATTTAATAGATTTAGTAAACTTGTCAAAGAAGCTTTTCAAGATGATCCACGATTTCTTACTGCAAGAGATAAGGTATATATTTCTGTATATAAAATTTTATATTAAAAGTGTTACTATTAAAATTTACTTTTAGTAAGCAATTCACATTATTCCACTAAATTGCAAACTAAAACCTTACAACTCTGGTTTTTTTCAGTGAATACAATCTGTGTTATATTTGATTTGGCATATGTTTTTATAAGCATTGGATATCCTTGTAAATTAGAATTTAGCTAGAAATTAGTTTTCCAGTGATGCTCTGTTTTTGAATATTATAGATTATTGAATTCCTATTCATTCTTCTTTTTTTTTTTTTTGTGGTATTAGACATTGAACTCAGGGCTTTGTGCTTGCCAGGCAGGCGTGCTGCCACTTGAGCCACTCTGCCAGCCCTCATCCTTTTTTTAAGATCCAGCTTCCAGTGTTATTTCCCTGGAACTTCTTTGATGCCCTGCCTCCCTTCACAGCTTATCCCACTGAGTTAGTTCTCCCAACTCAGTTTCTTAAGGCTCCCATGAGAGTTCTGACCACATTTGTTTCCCAGGGAAGTATCTGCATAGCATACTGTCTTTTCCCATCCTCAGTGGATGAATAAAATGAAGCATCATTGTCCTTAAAGTTTATCTTCTTAAATGTCAAAGACCTATCATAAAAAATTAGTTAGTTCCTCCTCCCCACCTACTTTTTAATATTTCCAAAGTATGTTGTATGTCTCTAGAAAGGCAATCAGTTTTTTCCAGTAGACTGTTTCCTTCACTTTTTGCCTACTTAAGATAATTAAATATATAAGTAGGGAAAAATTAATGGAATATGGAGGTGGCGGGGTAAAGTCTTTTTTCTTTTATTTTCTTTTTTATTGGTGGGACTGGCGTTTGAACTCAGGCCTTTGTACTTGCAAAGCAGGTGCTCCGTACTGCTTGAGTCAAGCCTCCAATCAATTTTGCTCTGGGTCTTTTGGAGATGGGAGTCTCATGGACTGTTTGCCCAGGCTGGCCTCAAACCTTAGTCTTCCCTGTCTCAGCCTCCCAAGTAGCTGGGATTACAGGCATGAGCCACTGGTGCCCAGCTGATTTGAAGTTTTAAATTGAGTAGCCTACAAAGGCTTTTGTGATGACATTTAAATCAAAAATGAAGAAAAAAATAAGTCATGTGGCTGGCTGAGGGGTGTTTCAACCAGAGGAGCCAGCAGATGTGAAAACTTTAAGGCAGGAAAATACCTGTCATATTCTAGGAATAGCAGAAGAGGTCTTTGTGGTCAAGAGTAGATGGCGTAAAGCGGAGAATGGTAGCAAATGAAGTCCCAGGTACCAGGAGGCCACATCACACAAGACTGTGAGCAGAGTAAGGAGCTTGGTTTTAATGTGCGTGGATAGGAATGCCCGGAGAGAGTGTGAATAGAGTAGCAGGACTTGACTCACATTTTAATAGTAGTACAAAAAAAATAAGCTGAAGGAAGCAGGGCATAGTCCTGCTTACCTGTAATGTCATCACTTGGGAGTTAGAGACAGGAGGATTGTCAGTTCTAGGCCAGTCTGGGGTTTATAGCAAGACATTGTCTCAAAAAACAAACTACAGCAACAAAAAAATGAGAAACCTCTCACAAAATGACAACCAAAAGAGTAGAGAATTTCAATTAATCAAATATGCGGTGACTTTTCCCAGAGAGATAGTGGGTGGGGGTACTCAAAAGTGGTTGGTATTGGGTTTTTCCTTTCTTAAAAAAAATGTAGTTTCTATTTGAGAAATGCAGGGAACACAGGTAAAGGAAGGGAAGCTGATGAAGGATACTGTAGACAACTCAGTATTCTATGAAGTCAGCTCTACAATGAGCTCCTGTAGCTCAAAAACTCTTTAAGAAAAAAAAAAAAAAAACTCTGTTCTAAATTTCCCCACCCATGAAATGTTGATTTGTGGCATTTCTTGCTGCCATTTGCACAACCATCACATAGTTCCGTAGGTTTATGTACAGATACAGATACTGACAGCAAAGTCCAGGGATGAGGGGAAGGCTTGGTAGCATCTATTAAAGTAGCTGTGTGGCTTGGGATTGAAAGACAAAAATGACAATATCCTCTACAACTGATGTCTCAGGAAGGCGTCCCCAACTCTCCTTGAGTACTCATCTCCTCCCACTGGATGTTCTGCCAGTCAGTGCCACTGTTCTCTCACTGGCTAGCTCTTAACATAGCCCCAGGTTCTCACATTTAATGTCTTTTTATTTTTTAAAGCATTTAAGTTATTCAACATGATGTTACGGAACACATAGAAACTAAAAAGGTTACCGTAGTGAAGCAACTTAACATCTGTGATATTTACATAGCTACCTGTTTTATTTATTTATTTATTTATGTGGCAAGAGCAGCTAAAGTTAACTCATTTAATATGAATCCCATTATTGTCTGTAGTTCTCATGTTGTTCATTTAAAATTAGGTCTCTAGACTTGTCCACTATATATCATCCTCTGACCTACATCCCATTTCCAACCTGTCCTACCTCCCACCATCACCCCTGGTAACCACTGTTTTGCTCTCTAATGCTGTATATGAATTTTTTTTTTCTACATATAAGTGAATTCATATAGTATTTTTCTGTGTCTGACTTATTTTCCTTAGTATACTAATAATCTTCTATCTTCATCCATATTTTGGCATATGGCAAAAATGTGTTTTTTTAAATATTGTATGTATGTGCCACAGTTGCTTTATCCATTTATCTATCAGTGGACACTTAGGTGGGTTGTTTTCATCCTGTGCTTCTGTAAATAATGCTGTAAAGAACATGAGAGTGTAGATATCTTTACAAGGTGGTAACTTTATTTACTTTGAGTATATGCCCAGAAGAAGGAATTGCTGGGATTCTGATAATACTATGGTAATAGACTCTACAGGATTTGCTAATGAGCCAGATGTGTAATGTCATAGAAAGAGACCTTTTAGTGATAACACTCAGACTTGTGTTCAGATCAGTTACAATCGTGTGTACTGCCATGGGTAAGACTGGGAGAAGCAAGCTTTGGGGAGATGGTTGCAGAAAAACTAAAAACTCAGTTTTGAACAAGTTAACTTTAATATTAACATTCAAAGTCTGTTAAGCATCCATGTGGAAATGTTGAATCTGGAGTTTCATGGAGAGAATGGAGCCAGAAAACTCTGATTGGCAGCTTTTGTCTGTAGATGTTTTTAAAATCACTGACACTGCCTGTGATCACCAAAGTCATGAGTGAAAGTAGAAACAGAAGAGAGCAAAGAAATGGCCCTAGGGCGTTCTGATGTTTAGTTCTTAGGAAAATGAAGAACTGCCTTTCATGAGGACAGAGCAGAATAACCAGGAGAGTGTGGTATGTAGAAGAAAGTCAGAAAATGGTATAACCTGCTGTTTTTAAAATGCTGCTGATAGATCAGATAAGATGGAGTTTAAACATTGTCTTTGGCTACATAGAGGTTGACTTTATAACGGTTGGGTGGACTGTGGTTTCAAAGCCTGATTAGAGTGGTTTTCAGTAAGAATGTAGGAAAGAAAAGCTAGGCAATGATGCTCACCTCTGTAATCCCGGCTACTTGGGAGGCTGAGATAGGGAGGATCTCAATTCAAGGCCAGCTGGGCAAATAGTTCTTGAGACCCCATCTCCAAACTAACCAGAGCAAAATGGACTGGAGGCATGGCTCAATTGGTAGAGTACCTGCTTTGCAAGTGCAAAGCCCTGAGTTCAAAATAATGTAGAAAAGTGGAGATGGTGAGATAATTTTCTAGAAGTTTAGCTTAAAAGGATGGAAAAGAATGGAGTATTAGCTGAAGGTAGACAAAGCCAAGAGACAGTTTTTAAGATGCGAACAATAACAATATGCTTTTTATTGCAAGGCCACAGAAATAGTGGAGAAGGAAAAATTGATGTAGGAGTGAAAAGAATCTGATTACTTCAGTTTTCTCTGTGAAATGAAGTCACAGCATTTGTTGAGAATGTATATAGGGAAAGAAATATTGAAAGTTTGAGGAGAAAGGAGATGGTACAAAAATATTTAGGAAACTGAATACATAGAGAAAATGGGTTTGATCGTCAGGCAACATCAAGACCTCACTTAAGAACATCAGTAGTTGTAACATGAAGTCTTTGAAAAATACTCTATTAGGTCAGACATACCTTTAAAAGTAAAAACCGGGCTGGAGATGTGGCTTAGTAATAGGATGTATGTTTAACATGCACAGGATCTACAGGCGATCCCAGCAACACAAAAAACAAAACACCTGATGTATATTTTTATGATTTTTGAAAGCATAGTAATTTATCTGCCTACTTTAAATATTAAAAATAATGCTCATTCCATTTCAAATTATTTTTGCAGGCATATAAAGCAGTTGTTAATGATGCTACCATATTTAAACTTGAATTACCATTGAAGCAGAAAGGGTAAGCTTTTTTAAACATATTTTAAAAATACTTAACTTTTTTTGGACTGTATTACATGTTAGTGGGTCTGCAAGGTACTTATTTCCCTATTAGATGATTTTGGTTTTTTTGTTGTATTGGGGTTTGACTCTACCACTTGAGCCATTCCACCAGCCCTGGTTTTTGTTTGTTTGTTTTGTTTTATTCTTTGAGACAGAGTCTTCCTATATAGCCTCGGCTAGCCTCTAACTTTAGATCTTCCTGCCTCTATCTCCCACATGTTGGGATTATAGTTGTGTGCCACCATGCCTTGCTGCATTTGGTTTTGTTGTTATTCTGAGTATTTTTGTTGTCTTGACTATTAAAACTCTTCAGTTTACAGTTTTTTATGACCAAAAAACACTTTATTTTTTGAAGTAGGAAAACACATTTTGTTCTTATTCTTTTAGCATCTTGGGTTGTTTTTCCTTTATTAGTCACTAAAGATATTTTTTTTGGAGGAGGGTGCTGGGCATTGAACTCAGGGCCCCAAATTTCTAGGCAGGCACTCTCCCACTTGAGCCACTCTGACAGTCCTGTATTACCATTTTTGAAAATTGATCTCTTTGGTGGAGTCCTTGCCTAGCATGTGAGTGGCCTGGGTTTGATCCCAGCACCAAAAAGAAAAGGGGGGAAAAAATCTCTCATTGGTAACAGACTAATTTGTTTTGCTAAGTTCAGTTTTTGGAAAATCTGAAAATTAAATTTGTGAGATATATTAATAGATCTGAGGTAGTTAAGTACCTTCAGAATAATGCTAAGTAGTAATGAAGGATATTTGGATAAACTCTTTCCATATAGTTTCTAGTTGAGAATCAGTTTTAAAGAAATTTTAAAGCCAGATATGGTGCGTGCCTGTAATTGTACCACTCAGGAAGCTAAGGCAAGGAGGATCATGAGTTTGAGGTCAGCCAGGGCTACACAGTGAGTTTTAAGGGCAGCCTGGGCTACACAGTGAGACCCTATCTCAAAGAGAGAGAAGCGGGGAGGGAAGAGAGGGGAAGGAAGGAGGAAATTTTATATATAATGCTAAAATGTTTGAAAAATAACATTTTTAAGAGGAAAATAAAGGTCTTTTAATATTTTTGTCTTGGCTTTTATGAGCTATGTATGTTTTTACTACAATAGAATATACCTGAGTCATTCCGTATTATAGCAATTAACATTGAAGGAGGCTGTATGTCACATTCTCTTTTTTAAATTATGAAACATAACAGTACATCTTTGCATGCATATGTAGAGATCTTATTCTTCTATAGCCAATTTTTTTACAGAAATTTTCAAACAGTAAGGTTACGTAATTGCTTTGTCAAATAATGTATCTCCCCTTTATACATCCATCAGCCAATTTTATTAAAGCCACTATATTTTGAGTAATTTTAGTTTATTTTTTCACTATTGGGGATCGGACTCAGGGCCTTGCACTTGGTAAGCATACTCTCTGCCACTTGAGCTACACACCCAGCCCCTTTTTAGCTTTAGTTATTTTTCAGATAGGATCTTGAAGTTTTGTCCAGTGCTGGTCTCAGACCATAATCCCTCTCTTTTAACCTCCTGTATAGCTGGGACCACAGATGTGCGTCCCATGCTCCACTTATTGAGACAGGGTCTCACTAACTTTTTGCTTTGGCTGGCCTTGAAGCATGAACCTCCTGCTTTCCACCTCCTGCGTATCTAGAATTGTAGGTGTGAACCACCATGTCTGGCCCCATCAATCTACTTCTTAAATGGATTTCTAAAGAACTTTCACACATCAGTAGTCTTTATTCCCCTAAGCACATACACTCATTAATTGAATTTGATGTTTGTTTTGAGGTAAAAATGACATAGTTTTTTGCATATATTGTAAGTGCACGATTGAGTCAGATTTGATAAATGTATGCACCCTATTGATGTACAATGTCGCCATCACCTTCCAGTGTTGGCCTAATGCCCCTTCCCAGTAAGTTCCAGCCCCTCTCCTTCTATTGGCAGCTGTTCTAATTTTGTCACAGAAATTAGTTTTGTCTGATCTAGGACATCAGACAAATGTAATCACACAATACGTACTTGTTGTGTGTAAAGCTTATTTTGTTCAGCATTGTTTTTGAGATTCATCAATGTTTTTTAATGTAATTGTAGTTTGTTTTCCACAGTGGTTATACTGTTTTATACTTCTATCAACAAAATATGATAATGACAGTTTGATATTTATTCTCACCAAGATTTGATGGTGTCATTTTAATTTTAGTCATTCTGGTTATAGTAGTGGTATTTCATTGTAATTTGATTTCCACTTCCCTTATGTTACTGATGCTAAACAATTTTTCATGTATGGAGGTGCTTTAGGGTTTTTTTGCCAATTTTTTCCTATTAGACCTTTTCATAAAAAGTTATGAGTTCTTCTGTATTCTGAATATAGGTCCTTGAATGACATATGCTTTGTTTTATGATTTTTGCTTTCTGTGTTTTATCTAGGAAACCTTTTATCTACTTTAACTCCAGGACATGAACATATTCTTTGTTTTCTTTTAGAAGTTTTATAATTTTAGCTTTCACATTTAGGTCTAGGAGCCATCTTAAAATAATGATTGCATGTGTTGTGAGCTAGCGATTGATTTTCATTTTTTTCTTTACAATGTGATAAGCAGTGGTTTCGGTACTATTTGTGGGCGAGATTTCCATTCCCCATTGTGTTGGTACCTTCCCATCAAAAAATCAAGTGACTTAAAAATGGGTTCATTTGGGTATCTTTAAGCCATTAAAACATAATCATTATACTGTAATTATATAGTAAGTCTTGAAGTCAGGTAGTATAATTTTTTTTTAAATCTATATTCATTCTTCCTTTGTGCCTTTTATAATTTTCTTTTTAAAATGTTTCTATCATTTTCTGGTATTGTTATGTTGGCTTCATGAAAAAGATTAGAAGTTATTCTCTTGTGTGTATTGCTGAAAGAGTGTAATTAGTAGTGCTTTTTGCTTAAATGTTTGAAGGAATTCATTATTAAACTAATTTTTTGAAATAGATACAAGAGTTCTTCAGGTTTTTCATTTAATCTAGTTGTTTGTGCAAGTTGTAGTTTTTAGGAAATTTACTAATTTCTTCCAAGCTGTCAGGTACACATACATAAAGTCATGGCTGCTATTCCCGTTAGCCATTTCTCTCTGCAAATACAGGAACCTTTTTTTCTAGAGTCATTTGAGATTAAGTTGTTCACCATTCCAAATACATTAATGTGTATTTTCTTTAAGCATAATCACAAAGTCATAATTTTCCAAAATTAAGAAATTAACTTTGATACATCAGATCTGTTCTTTAGATGCCTTTAAATATGCATTGACAGTAAATGTTTTGTAGCAAAAGGATCTAATATAAGATCATTTGTTGCATTTAGTTGTCATATACATATATGGATATACATGCACAATATCTATATGTATATTTTTTGTGGTCTTCTGTGGTCTGAAACTGTCATTTGACCTTCATGACCTTGTACTTTTGAAGCATACAGACAGGTTATATTGTAGAATGTTCTTAGTTTATGTCCACCTGATGTTTCCACATGATTAGAATCAGACTTACATCTTTGGACCAAGGGAAGATTTGTTCTTACCATCATCTTATCTGAGAGTACATGATTGATTTTGATTTATTCCATTTCCAGTCATATTCAGTTTGATCATTTGATTAAGTTGGTGTCTGCCAGACCTTCCTACTGCAAGGTTTCTCTTTCTCTTTTATTTTACAATTATTTTTTGGAAAGTACTTTAAAATTATATAAAGATCCACGCTGGGTGCCAGCAGCTCACACCTGTAATACTAGCTTCTCAGGAGGGAGAGATCAGGAGGATCCTGGTAGAAAGCCTACCTTGCAAGCATGAGGCCCTGAATTCAAACCCCAGTACCGCCACAAAACAAACAAACAAAAAAAACTATATAAAGATTTCATTCCTCATCAGATTATTTGTATGTTGATTCATCATATCAGTAGGGAGTCAGAGTTTCCTGTGCTTAGTGGGTTAATTTATGATTCTTTATTTTGATTTTTAAATTATTATAATTGCCTTTCCTCTTGCATATAGGAAAAATTTCATGTGTCTGTGTATTTTTTTAGTACTCTCTTCTCTCCCACCTCCTGTAGTCTCCTCAGATAGACCCACTAGTACATTCATATTCTCTGTACATATATGTGTGTTTGTATGTACATATATTAAGATCAAATGTACTTACGTGTACATTTATCTTATAGGTCTAGCTTCTACATGCAACCTTTGACCTTTTGAGCCTGGCTTACTTCACTTAGCATTGTGTTTTGACCATCTTTTCATGTGCTTATAGGTGGTTATTTTCTTTGAATAAATGTGTGTCTTAATCATTTGGGTTATTTGTCTTTTTGTTTTTGAGTTGATAAGTACCAGATCCTTAACAGATAGATGATTTCCAAGTATTTTCTACCATCCTGCAGGGTTTTTTTTTTTAACTTTCTTGATAATGTCTTGTTGTACAAAAGTTTTTTCCCCTACTTTCCCGAAGCTGGAGATCAAATCCAGGGCCTTGCACAAACTAGGCAGGCATGAGCTTGTCACTGACAAAAGCTTAATTTTTGATGATACAGTTTCATCCTTATGTTTCTAAGAGTTTTGTGGGGTTGGCTCTTCTGCTTAAGTCATTGGTCCATTTCAGATTAATTTTAGGTTATGGTGTGAGATCAGAGTCCAACTTCATTCTTTTGCATGTAGATATCCAGTGGTCCCAGCACCCACTGAATGATTTTGCCCTTGTTACTAAGAATCAATTGGCTATGGAGCTGGAGGAGTGGCTCAAGTGGTAGAGCACCTGCCTAGCAATTGCAAAGCCCTGTGATCAAACCCCAGTACCACCAAAAAAACCAAAACAAACATGAATCAATTGGTTGTGGATTTATGTGTTTATTTCTGACTGCTTAAAACTTCAACTCCGTTGGTATGAATCTGTCTTTATGCTAACATCACACTGTAGCTTTGTAGTAGCTTTAAAATTAGGACATGTGGATGCTCCAGCTTTGTTCTGTTTCTGTCTAATGGATACAAAGCTTCTGTTTGGGATAATGAAAAAGTTCTTGAAATAGACACTAGAGACATTTACACAACATTGTAAATGTACTGAATGCCACTGAATTTTGTGCTTAAAATAGCTAAAATGGTGGATCTGTTTAACCATAATGAAAAAATTTATATCGTAAAAGCAGATAATGGGCTGGGGTGTAGTTCAGCAGTAGAGCATTTACCTAGCATGCACGAGGCCCTGCATTCAATCCCAGCAACACAAAAGCAAACAGATAAACAAATACATAAAGGAATGAACCAACACATGCTATGAGATGGATGAATCTTGACGACATGCTAAGTAAAAGAAGTTAAGCCACAAAAGACCACATACTGTATGCTAACACAAACAATCTAGAATCCTAAGTCTACAGAGATAAAACCTATACTACTTGACACTAGTCTGTGAGGGGGCGGGGGACAGCTGGAGAAGAAACTTTATTCTAGTAAGTATGGGATTTCTTTTGAGAGTAATGAAAATGTTAAAAAATTTGATTATAGTGATGATTGCACAGCTTTGTGAATATACTTTAAAAGCAATGAATTTTATGCTCTAAATGAGTGACTTGTGTGAGTTACATCTCAGTAATATTTATTTATTATATTTAGTTACTATTAATATGTTAAGCAATAGCAATGAAAAATGATATTTACTAATGGACAAATAGGTGAAAATTATTATCTGAGAAAAGATAGAATTGTCTATAGCAATACGATATTTGAGTCATAGATAACAGAAAAATGGGGAAACACAAATTTTGTGCCAAATTTTTCCAAAATTGATGAAAGATAGTAACTCACAGATTTAAAGATCACTGAATCCCAAGCGTACGAAACACAGATTAGACCATTCATAGGTACCTCATAGTAAAATACCTTAAAGCACATAGATTATCATGAAGTTAGTGGGGTAGTCTATGTCAGAGGATAGAGGATGACCTCCTAGTGCATGTTGGTATGGATGCTTTCCATTTCCACTATTTTTTTTTCAGTGTTCGGAACCAAACGCAGGCCAAACATGGTAGGCAAGCACTACCACTGAGCAATACTGCCAGCCCCACATCCACTCTTTTCTAAACCTGAGCCCTGTGGTGAACTACCATTGCAGTTTTCCTTCCCATTTCTTTCAGTGTTAACTCTCCCCACTTGTCATTCTTAGTATGGTGTTTGGCCTCTGAATATAAAAACCTCTGGGTTACCTAAGAGCAATACCAATATTTTGAAATACTAGTATAATAGAAAATGCATTTCTGATGGATTAGGTATCAGTCTTTGCAAGTCAGGTAATTTGTAAGTTTTTGCTTTCAACATAATTATTAGCCATTATTAAAGATGTACATTGTTAAATATCAATTTTAATGTTAGATCCGCATGGGTTTTTTTTTTTTAAGTAAATGATTCAGAAGGTGCTCAAAAAATTGACATCATAAGAAAAATTCTAGGGTTAGAGGTGTGGCTCAAGTAGTAGAGAGCTTGCCTAACAAGTGTGAAGCCCTGCGTTCAAACCCTAGTACTGCCAAAAAGCAAAAAAGAAAAACTCTAGTTCCCTCTACTTATGTGAGTAAAATTTTTCAGGGCAGATGTAAGTTTGTAGAAATGGAATCAATGGAGATACCTAATTGGGGAGAAAAACGATTCCATCCACTGAGGAAGAGTTGATATATTCAAGGGCTGTGGATATTGCTAAATGTCCTCGAGTGCTTGTCCAGCTTGATGTCCTAGGTTTGATCCCCAGCACAGCAAAAAGAAATTTTTGATTAAAAAAAGATACTTGGCATAGCCAATAAAAATTTATATATGCATTTATTTTATTTTATGTATATGTACTCACATAATTTGTTTTGATCATTTTGTGTATTTGTAGTAATTTGGCTAGCTTAGTAGTTGGAAAATAGCACTTGAATTTTATATCTGACAATTTGAACTCAACCTTAAATATATTGTTAAGTGAAGAATAAATTGATGTCATTCAGGCATGAAAATACAATATGCTGATACAAAGTTTTATCAGAAAAGTGCAACACAGGTACAAATTCTTTGTTGTTTAAGAGGAATTTGTTCACAATTTTTCAGAATGGCTGAGGGTAGCTATCACATCACTATGGAATGTAGATACAGTTCAAAGAGTAAGCTAACAGATTTAACATTAATAATAAAAAATTTTAATATTTATAAATATCCAAGGATTTATTACATGGTTTTTCAAAAGTTATTTTAGCAAGTATCTGAATTATTTTATTTTTTTGTAGTACTGGGTCTTGAACTCAGGGCCTACACCTTGAGCCACTCCATCACCCCTTTTTTGTGAAGGGCTTTTTCAAGGTAGGGTCTTATGGAACTGTTTGCCCAGGCTGGCTTCGAACCTCAATCCTCCTGATCTCTGTCTCCTGAGTGGCTAGCATTACTGGCATGAGCCGCTCACGCCTGGCTGAATAAAATCTTTTAAGAATCATTGTCATGTCCTGCATTAGGATGAGGCAAGCAGGTACTCAGAGGGCAAAATTGAAGGAGGTTCTCACTCTCAGATCCTGCAAGGGTAGAGTAATCCTTTATGGGACTCTCGAGGGAGTACTTCCTTGCATTATGTGCCCTAGACATCTTTCTTACATAGCTCTGATCAGTAGATTATTCAGCATAGGAATTTTTTGTTGCTGTTGTTCAACATCAGAAAATAGTTTTTGAAAATTTGGCTTTAGAAAAGAATAACTTGCTAATATCAATCACTTTTTATCAATTACTTTTGTTGTCTAGAGTGGGATTGAAAACTCAGCCTGAGTCAAAATGCCCTGAATTGCTTGCCAACTACTGTGACATGTTACTAAGAAAAACACCTTTAAGCAAAAAACTAACCTCTGAAGAGATTGAAGCAAAGCTTAAAGAAGTGGTATGTAAATTTTGTATTTCATATTTTCTTTAAGAATAAAGAAGGATTTATTACCTGTAGCAGGTAAAGAGAGCAGTGGAGTTATTTCCAAAGCAGTGCCCTTCTCCATTTTGGAACAATGGAAGCATGGGGATTGTATTTGGGGAGACTATACTTGTTAATACATGGAAGCACGTTAGGGTCAGAGTTCAAGCAGGAAAGATGGCAGACACACTTTCTGGCTCAGGGTCAGAGCACATGTTTGAAAGGTTTTTAAATCACCAATAGGAGCATTTTTGAGCATTTCAACTTGTGTCATAAACATAGACAGAACACCTCTAAGCATGCTCAGCTTGCATCACACAGATGACATACAGTAACACCTCTGGACACATTCTGTTTTCTCCAAAATTTTTAGCTGTAGCAGGTAAGGACAGCATGGGTGTTATTTCCAAGGCAGTGCCCTCCTCCAAAAAAGGAGAAAGGAGTTTTTTTGTGTTTCTCATTTTTAAATTACCTTACTTTGAGTGTTTTGCTTTTCAGCATCCTGTTAATATTACCAATAATTTTTTTTTTTAAGTCTCTAAGGAACTATTGTTAATGAAGTTTTGCAGTGTAAAATTGGTACAGGATGTTTATTTTTTTGCCTAAAAAACAATTTACTATATAGTGCCTAGAAGGGGAGTAATATATTTTTTCCCCTTAATTTTCCCCCCTGTGGTGCTGGGATCCAGCCCAGGACCTTGTACATGCTAGACAAGCACTCTACCACTAAGCTATATCCCTATCCCTTTTTTTTTGTTTATTTGTTTGCTTGTTTTTTTTTTTTTTTTTTTTTTTTGAGATAGGGTTTCCCTATATATATTTCAGGCTGGCCTTGAACTCACTATGTAGCCCAGGTTGGCCTTAAACATAGGATCATCCTGCTTCCACTTTTTTTTTTTTTGGTGGAGGGGAATGGACAGGGTACTGTGGTTTAAATTCAGGGCCTCACACTTGGTAGGCAGGTGCTCTACCATTTGAACCACTCCACCAGTTCTTTTTTCTTTTAGATTTTTTGAGATAGGCTTTCAGGAACTATGTGCCCTGGGCTGGCCTCAAATGAAGATACTCCTGGATCTCTGCCTCCCAAGTATCTAGGATTATGGGCGCGAGCCTTGCTTCCATTTCTTGTGTGCTGTGATAACAGTTGGGTGCCACCACACCCAGTCTTTTTCTTCATTCTTTTTAGGTAATTAAATTCTAGTTCCCATTAAAGAGCAAACAGTTGAAAGACTGGGAGTTTTTCACTCTTTCTGTGAGAGCCCAAGATAGATAGCCAGAGATAAATAAGAAAAGATAGTACTTGCTTGCATTTTTGTTGTTATTGTTTCCTGGTTGTTAGTATAATTATTTACAAAGAGATAAAAATAGGGAGAGATATAGGGCTTGAGTATGTAGGATTACAGGTGTGAGCCACTGGTGCCCAGCTCTTTGCTAACTTTTGAAGTAGTAGTGTAACAGGTCTGGCTGTTTTTAGAGATGACTAATTTAGTCATCTTATACTCTATCTGTGTATGCTTATATAAATTTCTGAATTTTGACAGGTGATATCTAAATAAGAGAGATGACTGAAAGTATATAAGAAGTGGATGTAACTTTGTTTTCTTTGCAGCTCTTGGTCCTTAAATACGTACAAAACAAAGATGTTTTTATGAGGTATCACAAAGCTCATTTGACACGACGTCTTATATTAGACATCTCTGCTGATAGTGAAATTGAAGAAAATATGGTAGAATGGCTAAGAGTAAGTAAAATTTTAAAAAATATTTGGTTCCACATGGTTCATATGTGTGCTTAAGTAATACATTTTGGTGTTACTGTTTTTTTAAGTAGGATTGGAGTTTGAATTCAGGGCTTCAATCTTGTAAAGCAGGCATTCTACCACTTGAGCCACACCTCCAACCCATTTTGTTTTTGTTTTGGAGATAGGGTCTAAACTACTTGCCTGCTGGCCTTGAACTGAGATCCTCCCTATCTCACGCTCCCGAGTAGCTAGGATTACAGGCATGAGCCACCTGCCTACAGCTTGGTATTAAGAATGTAGCATAAAGTATATAAAACAAAATGGTACCTATTGAAGTAAATTTTCTTTCTTTTTTGTGGTGCTGGGGTTTGAACTCAGGGCCTACACCTTGAGCCTCTCCACCAGCCCTTTTTTGTGATGGGCTTTTTCAAGATAAGATCTTTCAAACTATTTGCCCCGGCTGGCTGTGAACCTCAGTCTTCCTGATATCTGTCTCCTGAGTAGCTAGGATTACAGGCATGATCTTCCAGTGCCCAGCTAAGTAAATTTTCTTAATGAACCACTTAAAAAAAAAATAGTAGTTAGGAAAATATTTGTAAGTTATATGACATTGTATAATATCTAAAGAACTCTTACAATATAACGATTAAAAACACCAAACCAGTAAAACAAATAACCTAGTTAAAAATGGGCAAAAGATTTGAATAGACGTTTCTTCACAGAAGATGTGCAAATGGTCAATATGTGCATGCAAAGAGGCTCAGCATCAACAGTCATTAGTTAATTTGAACCAAAACCACAAGATACAGCATTCACCCCACAACAAAGCTAAAATGAAAGCGATGATAACAAATTTTGCAAGAAGATGAGAAATTAGGACCTTCATAATTGCTGGTGGGGATATAAAAATAGGGTGGCCACTTTGGAAAATTGGCATTTCCTCAGAAAGTTAAGCAGACTTAAATGAGAACATATGTCCATGAAAAACTGATACATAGATGTTCATGACAGCAATGTTTAGAATAATAACCAAAAAATAGAAACCAGATGTTGGTGAGCTAATGAATAAAATACAGGTTTATCCATACAATAGAATATTATTTGACAATTAAAAGAATATTATTTGAAAACATTATAATGCTAAGGGAACAAAGGTAGTTACAGGAGACCACACATCATACGGTTCCAGCATGGAAATAGCACAGAAAATAGATTAGGAACTAGGGCAGGAAGTTGAAATGGGGAATGACTACAAGTAAATATTGGGTCTCTTTGAAGTGATGAGAATGTTCTAAAATTCAGTAGTTGTAACCACTCTGGAAAAAAATTTGGAGGCTACTTAAAAAGCTGGACATCAATCTACCATTTGATCCAGCAATACCACTCTTGGGGATATACCCAAAAGACTGTGACACAGGTTACTCCAGAGGCACCTGCACACCCATGTTTATTGCGGCACTATTCACAATAGCCAAGTTATGGAAACAGCCAAGATGCCCCACCACTGACGAATGGATTAAGAAAATGTGGTATCTATACACAATGGAATTTTATGCAGCCATGAAGAAGAACGAAATGTTATCATTTGCTGGTAAATGGATGGAATTGGAGAACATCATTCTGAGTGAGGTTAGCCTGGCTCAAAAGACCAAAAATCGTATGTTCTCCCTCATATGTGGACATTAGATCAAGGGCAAACACAACAAGGGGATTGGACTATGAGCACATGATAAAAGCGAGAGCACACAAGGGAGGGGTGAGGATAGGTAAGACACCTAAAAAACTAGCTAGCATTTGTTGCCCTTAACGCAGAGAAACTAAAGCAGATACCTTAAAGCAACTGAGGCCAATAGGAAAAGGGGAACAGGTACTAGAGAAAAGGTGAGATCAAAAAGAATTAACCTAGAAGGTAACACCCACGCACGGGAAATCAATGTGAGTCAATGCCCTGTATAGCTATCCTTATCTCAACCAGCAAAAACCCTTGTTCCTTCCTATTATTGCTTATACTCTCTCTACAACAAAATTAGAAATAAGGGCAAAATAGTTTCTGCTGGGTATTGAGGGGGGGGAGAGGGAGGGGCGGAGTGGGTGGTAAGGGAGGGGGTGGGGGCAGGGGGGAGAAATGAACCAAGCCTTGTATGCACATATGAATAATAAAAGAAAAATGAAAAAAAATAAAATAATATAAAATAAAATTCAGTAGTTGTGGTAGTTGCCCAACTCTGAATATACCAAACTCCACTAAACTATGTGCTTTAAGAGGGTGAATCTTAGGGTAGTTGTTATGTATCTCAACAAAGCTATCATGTACATGGAGAGTAGATTGAATAGCATTTGTTGGCTTTCTTCTTATGACAGTAAACATCTTTTCCTCAGTATTGACAGTCAGCTTTGTTATATGACTCCATTTTTATGTCTTTTTAATTTTCATTTCCAAGATTATCACTTTTTATTTCTTTGAGGTACTTATATGATCTTTATTGGCCAGATACCTCTTTTGAATATTCATATTTGTAAAGTATCATGTGGGTTTATCACTATAAGAGAAAGATGCCTCAAAACTACACTCTTTGCAGTCTGTGGGTAAAGTGAATAGACAAATGACTGTAAGATTTTTGAATAAAGTATTGTGTTTGGTAACTGATCAGGATGTGCTTCTGGTTTTGTTTGTTCGTTTTTGTGGTGCTAAGGATCAAATTCAGACTTTTGCATATACTAGGCAAGTGTTCTGCTACTGAGTTACACCTCCAGACCTGTACCTCTATACTCTTGTCATAATTTGCGGATTGAAAAGTGAAGTTTGTGCTTTATTCAATACATTTGCTAATACAGTGGCAACTAAGGTTGAGCTGAGTCACTGGGAACTGATGGTAACCATATTGTGGTGACAAGTGCATGCATACTGAAATTGGGCAAAGCAAGAACTACCTGAGCAATCTCATTTAGTTTCTGAGAATCAAATATAATAGGTATTAGACTGTAAATGTTCTAAGAAACAAGAGAAATTTAAAGCATCTTAAGTTTTCTGTTAGAACTTTTCCTAGTGATATGTCATAATTATTACCTGCTGTCTCTTTGGTTTTTATAGGAAGTTGGCATGCCAGCAGATTATGTAAACAAGCTTGCTAGAATGTTTCAGGACATAAAAGTATCTGAAGATTTGAATCAAGCTTTTAAGGAAATGCACAAAAATAATAAGTTGGCTTTACCAGGTATTATTTTATAATTACATATTTTAAAACTTTTTTTAAAAAAGAATACCTTTGTTTTCCAGTAATTAAAAATAAATGTCAACAGTAATAGATCTAAGGATATTATGATGTCCACATTCCTTAGAGACAGCTGTCAGAGCAGATTTGGAAATCCTTATTTTCAAACAAAAGGGTACTTTTTAGAGTCTTACTTATTTTTCACCAAAATTCCACCTGTGCTACTTACTTTGAATTTTATCTATTGTCAAGACTTTTTATATTTTACATTTTTTTTGGTTTTCTTCCCTGTAGCTGATTCAGTTAATATTAAAATTCTGAATGCTGGTGCCTGGTCTAGAAGCTCTGAAAAAGTCTTTGTCTCACTTCCTACTGAACTGGAAGATTTGATACCTGAAGTAGAAGAATTTTACAAAAAAAATCATAGTGGTAGGAAATTGCATTGGCATCATCTCATGTCAAATGGAATTGTAAGTAGTTGATGTGTTGTTCAGCCTTTAATTTGGGTGAATGTGGACTCCACAAAAGAGTTAACTAAACAAAATGGATTATTTTGCCTCTCTCAAATATAAACATTTGAACAGGAGTATGGGATGTGTTCCATGAAGTTGTCAGGCACATAGTCTTCAGGTTGTACCATCATGCTTACTGGATTGCCCTTGTCTATAGAATCCAGTATGATTTCCACTGTGTCTGTCCTCCTGTCAGTGGGAAGGAAAAGGAGATGGACCTTCCTATAAGGGCCACTTGTAGACATTTCCCCATCATTTCTACTTGTAACATATTGGACAGTACACAGATTCATGGCCACATTTTGCTACAGGGAATGCTGTCAGTTAAGGTCTGCTAAAATTTTTGTTACCATGTAAGAAAGAAAGCATGGATATTGGAAGACAGGTAGTAGTGTTTTTCACATATAATCTCTTGTAACAGATACTTTATTAGATAGATGGCAATCTGTAATTGCCATCTATTTTATCTATTACAGATAACATTTAAGAATGAAGTAGGTCAGTATGATTTGGAAGTAACCACGTTTCAGCTGGCTGTATTGTTTGCATGGAACCAAAGACCAAGAGAGAAAATCAGCTTTGAAAATCTGAAACTTGCAACTGAACTCCCTGATGCTGAACTAAGAAGGACTTTATGGGTTGGTTTTTTTTGTGTTAAAAATTGTGTCCTTTCACATAACTGGAAATGTGTGCTTGGTTTGTAATAATTTGGGGATCAAATCCACTGTGCTGTGCACACTGTGCACGTACTATATCCTGAGCTACATACTCAGCCCCTGTAAATTTTTGACACTCTCAAAGTGACTTTTAACCAAGGAAAATACACTAATGAAGTATTTATGGGAAAAAGAAAATGAAAGTTACCAAGACAGATAAAGGGACGAAAAAAAGATGAAAGATTCAGTTAGTATTTATATGTTACTTATATGGAGTCTGACCAAAGACATGTACTACACTTAATTTTTATGCTGACAGTATGTTTAAAGATTTTTTTGATGACCACAAATCTAAGAGTTAGAAAACTGTAGTCCTTTTGAGGATTTATAAAAGGTACTCTCACTACCTTCTTGCTTGTAACATTTTACCATTACTCTGTAAGCATATTCTAAGTTATCTCCTGTGGAGGAAACAGATGGTATAAAACTGACAAGTAGTATTTGCTATGGTCCTGTGTAAGCAATCCTAATTTCTTGTCTTGCTATATGGAGAACACTTATTGTTTCCTCATAACCTGTTCTTTCCTCTGCCTTCTCTTTTTTTTCCTTTATGCATTTATGTGGTTTTGTTCTTGGAAGCGCCACATAAAAGTCTGCATTGTAAATTTGCATTTATAATCCTTTCTTGCCTGTGTGGGTCATGCTGGAGAATTGATCTTAGTACTCCATTGTTGCTAATTATTTTCTCTTTATTCTTCACAGTCTCTAGTAGCTTTCCCAAAGCTCAAACGGCAAGTTTTATTGTATGAACCTCAAGTCAACTCACCCAAAGATTTTACAGAAGGTACCCTCTTCTCAGTGAACCAGGAGTTCAGTTTAATGTAAGGTTTATGTTGGTTGTTTTGAAATAAAAATTCTTCATTTGAATTTCAGTACTTTGTTTTTATCAAAATAGTTATTTTCCTTACATCATATTTAAAGCATAACTATACACTATCATCACTTGAAATTTATGTCTTTTAGGGGTTTTTTTGGGCAGTATTAGAGTTTGAACTCAGGCCTCATGCTTGCTAGGCAGGCACTCTATCACTTGAGCCACTCTACCAGCCTGTCAGCTAGTTTTTTATTAAAAGTATTAGGAGGGCAGAGTGTGAGGAGAATCCCCGGGGGTGGGAGGGTGTTCATGAGCTACAGATGTTCACTGCTGGTGGTGGTACTGGGGTTTGCACAGAGGGCCTGGAGCTTGCTAGGAAGCCACCACTTAACCATTCCCCTGTCCCCAGGTGTTTACTTCTTTACCATATTTTTCGTGGAAACTTTTTGGTGATTGACATCATAGTCTACATTTATCTTTAAAGTAAAATCCTCTTGTACTCTAAAACCAATTTATCTAGGCAAAGCATTTTTTCTGAACATCCACTTAGATAATGCTGAATCCAAACCCATTGGTGCCTTCAGTTACCTATTACTTACTACAGGAGTGTAGTCACTCATTACCAGAAGCTATATCAAGTTTGAGGGAATCAAAGAATTTGGGTTTTTGTTCTTGTATGTTTTCATAGAGACAGTGTCATGATGTAGCCCAGTCTGGCCTTGAACTTGTGATCCTCCTGCCTTTGCCTCCCAAGTGCTGGAACTACAGGCTGGTAGTGCACTGCCATGCCCAGCGTGGGATTTGTTTCAGATGAATCTGTGTTGGTTGTTGGTTGTTACTTCTGCTTCAGATGGTTGTGAATATTAGTTTAGTTTTTAGGATTTTTCTAAATCGTATTTCCCAGATACTGTAGATATAGATATATAGAGATAATTAATATATCTAGATATAGATGTATTAATTATTTTAATCCTTTCAGTGTGAAATTCTCAATTCATGGGTTTTTTTGCAGAAAAAATGCAAAAGTTCAGAAAAGGGGTAAAATCAACTTGATTGGACGCTTACAGCTAACTACAGAAAGAATGAGAGAAGAAGAAAATGAAGGAATTGTTCAGCTAAGAATATTAAGAACCCAGGTTTGTAATACTAAGATAGAATGTCTAACTTTTGAAAATTCTTTGTTTTTTTTAATCTTAAGGCCTTGTTTGAATTTAAAAGCATGTAAGCTATTCAACCTATTTGTGAAAAAACTAATTTTCATTTTACTGGAATTTAAAATTCAATTGATCGAATTCTTTTAATACTAAAAGAGGTGTCTGTGTGGCTTGGCCTGTAGTAGATTCTGATCTATTGGTTGGATAAAACCTTTGTTTTAAGTTACATCTCCTTTTGACCCCATCTGAATAAACGTGTCTAAGTAACAGTTGTAGTTGTAGGATTGCAGCATTGTTTTCCTCTGTTTTTATTAGTGTCTGATAATTGTACAGAGCAGTTTCATGGTGATATTTTCATACATGTGTACAATGTGCTTTGATCAAATCTACCCCCGAGTACTCTTTCATATCCTCCCTTCCATTTCAACAATTTTAAACAGGTTTCATTCTATTTTCATACATGTGTATGAAGTACTTTGATCATTTTAAATTATACTTAATTTGGAGGGTTCTAATTCCATTGTTATGTGTAATTAGGAAACTTATTTAGAACCAGCAAAAATCCCCTAATATCCTTTCCTTTTAAAAGTATTTTGCAGCTTGGATTATGGTATCTCCTGAATATGATAAAAAAAACCCTATTTTAAACTAATATACAATTGGGGTTTTATTTTGTGTGTATGTATTTTTTGTGGGGATTTTTGATTTTTGGTTTTGTTTGTTTTTTGGTAGTACTGCTGAACTCATGGCCTCACACTTGCTAGGTAGGTGCTCTACCACTTGAGCCATGCCCCCAGTTCTTTTTTACCTTAGTTATGTGAGTTATTTTTGCTCAGGGCTGCCCTGACCACAGTCCTGCTGTCTGTGGCCCTCTGCATAGCTGGGAATACAGGTGTGTACCACTGTGCTGGGGCCTTCGTCACTTTTTGCCCACTGGCCTCTAACTGCAGTCCCCTCACTCTCTACCTGCTGAGTAGCCAGGATTACAGGTGAGCCACTGCACTTGGAGACATGCTAGTAGTTTTAGCTTTAGAAACAGTCCTTTAAAAACCAAGTTCTACTCTTGCTTTTTATTTATTTATTGATTGATTGATTGATTGATACTGGAGTTTGCACCCAGAGCTTCATGCTTGCTAGGCAGGTGCTGTACCTCTTGAGCCACAGCCCCAGTCTGGCATTTATTTAATATTTTTTAAAACTTTTGGCCAGAACAATAAAATTTGTAAAAAACGGGAAAGATTAAAATTTTTCATGACTTAGAAACCATATTAATGATAAAGTAGCAAGAAAAAACTGAATATATAAAAACCAGTTGCTTTTCTATGTAGGAATAGATATTTCAAAGGAGAATAAAATTAGGAACCATAAAGTTATAGGTATTTTTATTTTTTATTATCACATATTAAGTGTACAAAATAATGTTTTATTGTCATAGTTTTTTTTTTTTTTAAACAAAAGTGGTGTTTAGGACCTGTATGAATAAAGTGGCCCTTTATTGAGTGATTTAAATAGAAAAGGAAGATCAAGCTTTCTTTTGCTGTTAAAATGTTTTGAGTTATTTGCATATATGAGAAATGTACCTTTTAAAAAGTATAACTTTGAAAGAGTTGTGATGAATGTTTATACCCACTTAAACTACAGACCATTTCTAATGATTCCAGTAATCTCCCTAGGTCTCCTAGCCAGTCCATCTTCCCCCTTTACCCCAGTTACTGATTTTTATTTTTTTTAAGATGGCATCTCGCTATGTAGGTCAGGCTGGCCTAGAACTTGTGATCATCCTACTTCTACCTTCTGAGTGCTGAGATTACAGGTGTGTACCACTATGCCTGGCTATCTCAGTTGATTCTTTTTTGGGTTCTGGGTTTTTGTATAAATGGAATCAGACAGTTTGTATCTTTTGTCTGGTTTCTTTTGTTCAATATGAAAAAATGTTTCCTCTCATGATAAGGCTGAATAACTTGAAGAGTTGATTTTTTTCCATATTAATGCCAAGTATACCAAGTTTCATATAAAAGTTCAACTAGGTATGTTTTTGGAATTTTATAAATTCTCAATATCATAATATATAAATGAAAGTGATCGAGAAAAGGAATAAGGAAAAATAAAAAAATAAAGGAATGTGGTGGTGAAATTTGTTCTGCAGAACAGTAACATGTATTGCTGGGAGTGATGATGCACCCTTGTAATCCCAGCACTAAGAAGGCTGAGGTAGGAGGAGCAGAAGTTTGAGGCCAACCTGGGCTATATAGGAGGCTCCTGTCAAAAAATAAAAAAAATTTAAAATGTATTAAAATATCTATAAAAATAAAACAGTGTACCAAGTAGAAAATAATTGGAAAAACAATCAGAATTTAATACATATATATGAACTTATGCAGTAAAGGACATAATTTCTACATCTAATGGAAACAGAGTGGATTATTCAATAAAAGGTATTGGGAAATTTTAATGTTTGGGAGAGAAATCAGGGAATACTCCCTGATTATAGCTATCCAAGGACAAATTCCAGATGGGTGAAAGAGTTGACATGAGTAATGGGAAGACAAGTATAGTCATACTACAAGACACAGAAAAATGAAGTTCTTTTGTCTTAAATCAATCCATAATTATGTCCAATTCAGTAATTTTAGGTGAATCTTTAGGAAATGTTCATAATTTCTTTCTGATCCTAGTCCACCCATCCCCATTGTGTGCTGTTTTCATAGATGGTATCTGGTATATTGAGGGTGAGAGGAATTGGCATCTTAGTGACTCTGAAGGGATTGTCACAAAACTCTGCACAGCTTTAATGGGTTCTTGATCTTGGTGGTAATGGAGTGGTTTAACTGTCATCCTTTGAAATTTCACTTTCTGATGTCTGTAACTGATAAACTTTTTCTTTTTTTTTTTTTTTTTTCCAATACTGAGGGGTTTGAAGTCATCTTGCACTTGTTAGGCAGGCGTGAACCACACCACCAGACCATGATTTATTCTTTTTTCAGTTGGTGCAGGACACATGGCCTCCTTCCTGCTCTGACTGCCTTTCCTCTCTTACTGAGCCCTCGAGCTCTTGAGCTCTTGGAAACTCTGCCATATCCCCATGTGGCCCAGGATCATGCTGTTCCACCAGTACTTTAGCTGAAGGCATTCAGGAGTATAAGTGATCTTTGGCACAGAATACAGGCCAGGGCAGCGCCAGTGTGCTCTGCTGTCCTCTTAGCTTCTTTAGCCCAGTCACCATCTCTACCTTTACCCAAACTAGAAGAGAAATTGGAACGTTTACACTTGTACCTTCCTTTCCTCCTTGGTACCTGTAATTTTCAGTCTTCTTTTTATCTATACCTTTGACATAAACCCTTGTGTGTAAGCTGTGATCAGAAGCCTGGCATCTGAATATATTGAGACAAAGAGGAATTCACTGGACCTTCTTGAATCAGTATAAAGATCACCATATCTATACAGGGGAGTTGAAGGAATTTTTCTGTTTCTGAATAGTGCGTGACACCCAAGCCTATTGATTTGCAGAAAAATTCTATATTAAATGTTAAAAGAAAGTACAGTGGTTCCTCAGGTATCTACAATGAATTAGTTTCAGAACTGTCCCCGCCCCCCATAGGTACCAGAATCTGCAAATGCTCAGGTCTCTTATATAAATTAGTATTTGAATATAACCCATACATACTCTCCCCTTTACTTTAAATCATCTCTAGATTACTTATAATACCCAATACAGTGTAAATGCTGTATAAGTAGTTGTCATACTATATTGCTTAGGGAATAATGTCAGAAAAAGAAGTTTGTATAAATGCAACCACCATAGGCCTAACTGCATTTTTCCATACAATCTGAGGGTGTGGAATGCATTGATACAGACAGTCAATTGTATTTCTTATTTTTCACATGTTCTTTAAAACAAATTAGCTAAGGAGAGGGCTCATACTGGAAAAGGTAAAAGAGAAAACAATATTTAGTAATTTTCAGATAACCTCTATTACACCTTAATAGTAATTAAGGAAATCACTAAGAAGAATATTGATGAAATTGCTTTGAGAAAAATGTTTTATCCCTTTAAAACGTTTAAGAGCATGTACTTCAGGGTCTCTCTACTCCCATTTTCTGCATGGGGGTAGGAAATCTTTCTCTTGTTTTCCCATTTTTCCTCCTCTTACCCTGCTACACTAAATTTCTTTTCTAATACTTTGCTATTACTTTTACTACAAACAAAGCATGTAATTGAATCAGTACAAACTAAAGCTAATATTTATAGCAAACATATAATTTCTCTGGTAAATTGCAAAGAGTAGTACTTACTGATTTTTTTTTTTTGGTGGCAGTACCAGAACTTGAACTCAGGGCCTCACACTTGCTAGGCAGGTGCTCTTCCACGTGAGCCACTCTTTCAGCTCTTTTTTGTATTGGGTATTTTCCCAAGATAAGTTCTTGTGAACTATTTTGGCAGTACTTACTGATTTTTTTTTTTTTTGAGATACACTTATGAGTATTTGGGGTTTGAACTCAGGACTGCACACTTGCTAAGCAGGTGTTCTCACTTCAGCTACTACCTAACTGGTTTTTAAAACAGATACCCATCTGCCTATACTATTATACAAAATAATAACTACTTCAAAGTAGTACAAAGAAAAATTTGAGTTAAGTAGCTTGTTGTATCTTAGTTGATGTTTAACGTAATACCAGGTTATATACATATTTTATCTTCAGGTAAGATACATTTTTAAATTTGCACATTGTGTAAAAAAGAAATTAAAAGAAATATACCAAATATCAGATACGATTTTTCTTTTAGCAGGGAGATTTGTTTTCCCTTATTTTCAAAAACTGTGTGATCAGCAGATTTTGTTTTACTTTTACTTGATACGGAAATACTGGTTTCAAGATTAATCTCTAGAGATTGGTGTTCATTTTAGTAGATGTTGGATAGAAGATGATATATACATAAAACTTCGCTTTTCATTTTGCTTTACTTAAGCTAGTTTAATATATTAATACTCTTTCTTTCTTTTTTCTTTTAGGAAGCCATCATACAAATAATGAAAATGAGAAAGAAAATTAGTAATGCTCAGCTGCAGACTGAATTAGTAGAAATTTTGAAAAACATGTTCTTGCCTCAAAAGAAAATGATAAAAGAGCAAATAGAATGGCTAATAGAGCACAAATACATCAGAAGAGATGAATCTGATATCAACACTTTCATATATATGGCATAATTTCGAATATCATGGACAATATTAAGAACCCAGATTTTGGAGTGCTTGGGCAGAAAGTTGTCCCAGTTGGAGCTGGAGAAAGATTTATTTGGACTTTGATTACATAAATATTAAAATCTCTGCCTTACCTTACAAAACAACTATATTTTGCCAATCACATTAGTTAGCATGGTGGTATTTCCTTCATGTTGCACACTCTTTAACAGCATGCTGTTTTGTGGAGAAACTTGCATTCATGAAGAGCCCGTTATGAACTTTTAAAAGTGAATTTGATTTTTACTCACGAGGAGAAATATAGTTGGGAAGCGTGAGCGCAGGGTTCTTGTTGCTTTTTTCTTTTTTTTTTTTCTTCTCTTAAAAAAAAATGTACTTGCACAAGGAAGGATATTCAGATATTCATGCACTGAAAAAAAAAATGCTGTTATCTTTTGTTTTAAAAAATACAATTAAAACTCTTGGCTTCTTTTGATGAAAAGAGTGAACTGGTTACCACCACATTGGGAGAGGGCAATTGTAAGTGAGAACCTAAGTGTTTCATAGGATCAAGGTGTTTGTTCAAACACTGCTTTCATTTAATAACTGGATTTTAATGTAGATCCAAAAATGGTGTTTAGGTCCACCTCAAAATGTTGGTTTTCTTTTAAGCAGGAGACTGCTGTTTTAGTTGTTTATTGTTAAGTGATAGGAGTTTTTTAAAAAACTTATATGTCTGAGAGCTTGTTTTGAAAAAGTGAAGCTTATATTAATTGTTGCTTCAATTGTTAAAAAATAGGAGATAGGTCATGATTGCAGAGTCAGAATAGCAAAACAAATATATTAAGTGTGTTTATTAACACTCTTAATATTTATATACCTAATATTTATTATGCCATATCTAAATTTGTCAAAAACAGTGCAGAAATCTCCTGCTCTGATATAATGTATTGTGGAGCTGATCTCTTGATCAGTTGCAGAGAATTGTTTTGGTATTTTAAAGTTTCATGATTAGGGATTTATAGCCTCAGGTTTCTGAAAAGAAAGATGTTCTCTTATAAAAAAAGTAGTACTTACCAGTCACCTAGGGAGGAAGAGAAAAACCAGGCATAAGATCTGAAAAGCATAAGCAGAGTTGTTACAATCTAAATATGAGCAGTAAACTTGCCAAATATGTACATATATATTTATATATTTTAAAAATAAACATTTTTAAAACGTTCAGAAGGCAACACTTACCTTGTTCCTTTTAGTCAATCCAAAGCAGCAACTTACTAGTTGCTAGCAACTGAATTCCCAGAGCAGTGGAAATGTTAGGACTATAAGAGAAACATTTATTCCCATTGGAAAGAATGGCTCGACGTGGATTTTTACTCATTGTGGTGCACGTTTCAGTTTTTCTTGCAGTTTATTTGATATCTTTTTAATGTTAAGTAATATTTAAAAGTATGGTTTTGAAGACCATAGAAAATAGAGAGTTGAGATGCATTCAGTATTATATCACAGCAGCGTGCTTTTAAGAGCATTTCCTGAATATGTCCCCATTCCTAACAAGTTTTGTTGGCTCCCTGCTGGAAAAAAGGAAAGTAAACCTAAGACATTAAGGTTTTGTTGGTTACAGTCAAATATCTGTTCTGAAACTCATAGGAAATTGTAATTTTGTTTATAATTTAAAATCTTGCACTTCAGCTCTAAAGTAGCAAGTCTATACCAAGCATATGGTGAAGAATTCCTAGTGCTCATTGTTTTCTCTAATTAGATGACTGCTAACTGTGGATACATTTGAAATTTAGGAGAATAATTTTGTAATGATGGTGGCCCTTACGTTTAAGCTTGGTATTGGCATATTTGTCCCAATGCCAGAATCCAAAGAAGGAGACAGTGGGAGAAAAATTACAGGGCATTTTCTAATGTTTAAGATTTGTGTTTTAAACCATAATTGTTCCAGAACTTCTTTGGAATTTCTAATCTTTTTTGGTCATTTAAGAATGAGAGCCATGATGTTTTGATTTACTAAGGCAAATTTAATGCAAAGTGGGTAACACTAAATCCATATCAAAGTTTTCTATTAAATTTTTATAAATTTTTTAATAGTGAATTAATTATGTCCTAATTGTACTTTAGGGAATGAACAACAGCAAATACTGTAGAAGTACAGTTTTCATCTTTTTTTTTTTTTTTTTGGTATGTATACAAAAGTTTAACTACTTCTGAATGTGAAAATCATTTAGTTGACAAGATGCCTATACCATTGTTGAATTTTCTTTATGTGTTGATAATAGATTTGCTAATTTTAAAAAAAGAATCTGAAAAAAAAAATCTTACCTGGAATTTGTTAAAGGTACAGAATCACAATATTCTTTATTTGGTCTCCTTTCTCCAGTATATACTTAACATTAGTTGCTAGCTAAGCAGGGGTGAAACCTGACATGGTTAAGGGAAGGAAAATCCAGCCCTCCCCACCCCACCACCAAAAATAACCCTTTTTTTTAATGAGTAGTATGGCAGGAGGACACCTCAGGTTAATTTAAGTTTTGAATACTCATCTTGTAATTTAAAGATGGAGCCAACTGTGCTAGGAATGGTGGTGCACACCTATAATCCCAGCATTTAGGAGACTGAGGCAGGAGGATTGCAAGTTCAGTGCTAGCCTGGGCTACATAGCAAGCCTCTGTCTCAAAAAGAAAAAGATGAGCCATCTGAAAATGTTAACCTCTGTTGCCACTTAATTGCCAGAGTTAAGTAGACGGGAAACCAAATTTGTAAAACAGTAATGCAGAATAATTTTTATGCTAGCAATTAAATAGGTATTAAAACATTGTCTAGTAATTTAATGAGGATCTTGAAATAAACTCTGAAGTCTTCCAATTTTTACATTTATTGGAGGGGTCCCTGAGTTTTTCAGCTTGTTTAATTTTCTTGCTTATTTTTTGCATAAATTTCCAAAAATGAAATTTTAGCTTATTTTCACTTTTTATTAAATTTAATACGAAATATGACCTTAGTAGTTAAAAAAGCATTTTCCATTATTTGCAGTAGGATATCATTAGCCCTACTCAAAGGGCAAATTTTAAAGTTGAATTTGGGTGAAAGATTTGCTAGTTTTACAGAAAGATTTGCTATCATAAACTGAAGCTGGTTTTTCTATTTTCATGTAAATGACTGGGATGCTGTCTTACAAATTCTTCCAAGGTCATGTCTATGAAATAAACATTACGTGAGAGCTTTCCTGCATCTACACTATGTCGTCTGGAGAACTGAACACATTGGAGTTGCTAACGGTGTTCTGTCCTCATGGTCACGAGGGTTTGAATGTGTGCCACTACACATGAGATGATAATGCTGGACGACTGTCACTGGGAGCAGTTTCTGTATGCAGTAGGCTGAAATATTTTGATGAACTGCTTAATTTTTGAATTTTATTTTTTAAGTTGTATAATTTATTTTCTTGCAAAATAAAAATGTAATATAAAATATTCAGAAAATATTGATGTTCTAGTATAAAATAGTTTCTAATAGCTTAAGTTTTTGGCTGGGCATGGTGGCAATCTGTACTTCCAGCTACATGGGAGGCTGAGGCTGGAGAATCAGTCACTTGAGCCCAGGAGTTCAAGGTCAGTCTAGGAAATGTAGTGAGCCCCCATCTCAAAAACTTAAAAAAAGAAAGAAATTATCTTATGATAGTATATTGGTGTTATGCTTGGAGGAAGTCAAGACGTTTGAACCTAAATGAGATGAATGCTTTAATCAGGCCGTGTTATAGTAAAATTCAAATATTTCATCAGATAAAAGCAAAAGTTATAAATTATTTTACATTTGGACATATTGTGAAATTCTTATTTCAAAGCTAGAGATTATTTAGTATCAAGGTCTGAAGATTGACAGGTATGCTTTGTAAGCACAGTAGTTACTGATCAAGTGAACACTGATTAAATAAACAATTTAATAATCAGGAAACTGTGTCTAGGACTAGCTGAGTGGCTCAGGTGGTAGTGTGCCTACCTCTCAAGCATGGGACTTTGAGATCAAACCCCAATATTGTCAAAAGGAAAGAAGATAGTCTCTATGAAACCTGAGCTGCATTCAGGGACCTAATTGTACTGAGGAAATTTAAATGCCTCTTTAAATTGAGCAAGCCTATTTTATTTTCTACTGTAGGCATCATGAAATAAATACTTTATAGACAGCCAGATGGACAAGCACACAACTTCATAATGACCCTTAAACTGAGCCTTGTACTTTCATTGGGATTTGGAGGATTTGGGGAGAGGAGTTGACTTAGAAATGAAGCCATTGAATAGAGTAGTCTCAGTTTGAGACTCACCTGAATCCAAAGAGATTTTAGGCCTTTTTCTTGCACAAGCCCTTTCCAAAGCCCTGGGAAAGACTAAAGGAGTTTTGTCAAGGTTAAGTATCCCTAAATCCAAAATCTGGAACTTCTTTTTAACAGGAGCTCTCTTTGTATCCCCGCTAGCCTTGACCTTAGAATCCTTCTGCCTCCCAAGTGCTGGGATTACAGGCATATACCACCTACTTTTTTAGTGCCATTGTAACAGTACAAGTGGAAAGTTCCATACCTGATCTCAAATGATCAGTCATAGAATCCAAGAACACCAAAAATACTGTATAAGCTGGGACCATAGCTTAGTATATAGCACTTTATAAGGTATATATGAAATTTTATATTTAGACTTGGGTCCAAGATACCCCACTATTATATGCATGAATATTCAAGAATCCAAAATACCTCTGGTTCCAAGCATTTTGGATAAGGGATACTCAACCTGTATTTGTGATGTATTTTTTTTTAAAGACTCCCCAAAATACCAAGTTGGATTCAGCCCCGCTAAAGGAACCTGGCACATGATAGGATTGAATGGGTGCTGAGTAAATGAGAGCATGTGTGCCTGAGAACAGTCCTATATTCTAACTTCTAAATGGGAAGATTTTATTACCAATGTCCCCTTCTACGCTATAGAAAAATAGGAACTTTTTGTCATTGAACTCCTGTTTTGACTAATGGAGTCTGGAGTAGGGGCTTTAGATGAATCATCAGTAGTAAGGTCCTGAGTAAGTGAAGCAACGTAGCAGCTTGTTCTGTGGATTGCTCATGTACACTGTGGGAATGAATGCCCAGTGTCACATGGATCAAAACATCTGTTCTCCCTGTTCATGGATTTGCCTGGCTGTTAATCACTTTTGATATTTTCATTTAATTATGAAGGAAGTGCAGTATTTCCTTCAGCGTGTTGTGATTCCTGAAACAGACTGATACTTAACTTGGGTTTTTCTCCAGCAGTAAGTGGTGGTTAATGGCTAGCCAATAGGAACCAGGAAGGCAAAGCTCTGCTAGATTTGAAAATGAACGCTCCTTGTGAA